GAAGTAGCAGGTGACACAAACTCCCAGCCGTTCATCTGTGAAGTAGGAGGTGACACAAACTCACAGCCGTTCATCTGTGAAGTAGGAGGTGACACAAACTCCCAGCCGTTCATCTGTGAAGTAGGAGGTGACACAAACTCACAGTTGTTCATCTGTGAAGTAGGAGGTGACACAAACTCACAGGCCACTGAGTTACAGTTGCGTGTCCTCAGCTGGAACACTGTCAGTTTCTGGAAGCAACATCTGAACCAGAACAGTACACTGGGAGCTTGACAGTATGGGTCACCATGTGCGAGCGTCCATACACCAGTGACGGCTGGAATGGATCAGAGCTTGTCACCACTGGACTCTGGAGCAGTGGAAATGGAAAGGTTCTCTGGAGTGATGAATTGTGCTTCCCTGCCAGGCAGTTTGGCGGGTGCTTTCTGCCCGAATGAGTAATGCCAACCATAAAGATGGAAGAAGATTCACAGTCTGGGGCTGTTTTCCATGGTCTGGGACTCTGGTTCCAGTGAGAGAAGACTTTAATACTACATTCTTCACAAGCCAGTAACCTCAACCCAGCTGAACACCTGCGGGAACGAACGCTGACCGCGAGCCAGGCCAACATTACTGCCAACCTAATCAGGGCACTTATGGCTGAATGGCAGCAAATCTCATGAATAATATTCCAACAACTTGTGAAAAGCCTTCGCGTTACTGCAGCAGTCGGAAGAGCCAAATTGATATTAATACCCTTGGTTTCACAATGAGATGCTGGACAGACAGGTGTCCGAATCGTATTAGTCGTATAGTTTATCTACAAAAAAAAATCGCTTTCCATATCAGTGTCACATTACATCAAATGTACAATGACTATGAAATTCTTCTGCTGATACATCTAAAAAGGCCAGAATAGTTTTCACACTCTTTTTTTTCTACATTCCTACCTGTTCTGTAATGCTATGTAATGTTCACAGTTTGCTCATAGACCAAGTGCTTTACCATTCACAGTATGATGCTCTGCTGCATATGGAAGTAGATCGGCTACTGGTGAAGGAGAATGCCAGTGTCGTGGAGAGTAAGGACATGGGCTTCAGGGACACACAGACGTCTAGCAGCAGTTGCCGTAAGAGTCTCACCAGGTGAGGCCACAGTCCACCTACTCTATCTGCTCCAGCTCACAGCGGACCTTCCCTTGTCCCATGATAAGTGTTTGATGGTTCTGGTCTCTCTTGGCATCCAGGTTCTTGTTGCCTGAATATGTGCTGGACTTTGGCTATGTGATCCATGGTGATGTGCCGACTCACATCATCAAAGCCACTAACACTGGACTAGTGCCAGTGTCCTTCAGTGTTGACCATCATCACCTTGCAGGCTCTGGTACGTCTCTGCATGATTTGCCTGAGTCTTGTGGCTCTATTTGACTTTGGTTTGGGTCTTTTTTTTTTACTAAACCCTGGCACTGTTGCGTTTTGGCAAAAATATACCTCATAGAACTTGGTTCATCTACTGTATCTTCTTTGCTCCACAGGGTTCAGCATGGAGCTGGACAAAGTGAAGAACTTGCCTTACTGTGAGACAGAAACATTTGAGGTGAAGTTTGACCCACGTGGGGCTAATCTAGATCTGGGAGAGGTCACCGCTGTCATTCACATCAAGGTAGGGTCTGTCTCAGGAGCCCAAGCTTTGATATGTTTAGCAGTTACATCAAGAATCAGACCAAAAAGCATTTGGTATCATTGGCAGGTGTCAGGTGGACCGACCGTGCCAGTGCACCTCTGTGCAGTCGTTACCATGCCTTCACTCACCATTTCCACGGACACTCTGCAGTTTGGCACCATCCAGTGTGGCCAGTGCAAAGTGGCCACAGTCCAGCTGTTCAACCCTGAGCCAGTGCCCTGTCACTGGAATATATCTGAGAAAGATCATGCCAAGAAGAAGGTGACAGTATAAGAAAATTACTACGTTGTCATCTATCTGTCTATCTACAGTGTAATTATTGGCACCCCTTCTAAAGATCTGTAAAAAGGGTTAGAAACATCTACCTTTTAGTGAAGAAGCTTCATTTCCCACTGAGAAAAATCCAACCTTTCATTGAAATAAATTTATTCAAAGACAAAGAAATCCTTTGTCAAGAAATAGTTATTTTTAACAAAAACACATGTGCCACGATTATTGGCATCCCTGCATTTAATACTTTGTACAACTTCACAGTCACAGAGTACTCAACTGGTTGGTTGAAACAAAATCTTGGTCTGGATTTTTACTTTCGGGACCTGAACCATCCCTTTATGTATAACTGACATCCCTGTCAATGAATAGATTGTGTTTGTAGCCAAAATATTTTCTAAATGCATAGAATTGCTCCATCAGTTCTTATTTGAATCCACGTAAGTTCAGATGGTGTGATATCAATGGTCTGTCTTTATCACAAAAAAATTCTTATTTTTCCTTCTATATAGATCGACAAGCACATGCCACTGTACCTCCGTCAGAAGTCACAGCAGGAGCCAGAGGCCCAGCCGGCTGTGTTTGAGATGTTGCCTCCCATAGGAGTTCTGCTGCCGGGAGAGAGGGTCAACGTGGAGGTGAAATTCACCCCGGCGGAAGGGGTAAGGATCGGCATCTCAGCTGCCCCTCGCACTCTCTCTCGTGCTGCGTCTCCCTGCCCTTCTTTCCCCTTTCAGAGGCTCTTCATTTCACTCCCACCATGCAGCGTTATTTTGGTTTGTGAACTTGTCAGTCACCCCATGGTCCCAGGAGAAGGTGAACGGAAGCCACGTAGAGCAGAGACTGTGTTGCGCTCGTCCATCTCTGCTTGTCGAATTCTCCTTCCTCATAAGCATGCATGCAAAAGAGGGGGCAGGCTCTCTGGGAGGGGCACCTGGGACTGTAACCCATCTATCCATCCATCCATCCATTCATCCATACAGATACTATACCCACAAATACCAAATGTTCATTTGTACTGGTGTTTGATTTTAAAGCTTCTTAAACCCAATGAGAAGAGAACCAGGGTGGAGAAGTGTTATCTATGACAGTCCACACTTGGATGCTGATAGAAATCTAGAGACTTTGGAGACTTTGTCATTTTAACAATTTATTCCTGGGTACAGTGAGTGGAAAATTATGTTGTTGTTCTTAATTTTGTTATCATTTGTGCAGGCCATTCACCTGTTAGAACGTGTGCACAGGTAGCGGTCACTCTGTGGCTTGATGCCACTGTCTTTTATACTGTAGTTTTCTCGTTACTCTCTTTTCCTTTGTGGAGTGATACAGCCGGTTGTTGCCAGGAGGTAAATACTGTCCTTGTGAATTTCAGCGCTTGTCTGCTTCCTTACAGCGGGCGTACAGCCAGCGCCTGGTGATCTCAGTAACCCAGAGCGTCCGGCGGGTGCTGCTGCTGGCCCTGGGTGAGGGTGAGACGCCCCAGCTGCAGTTCTCCTCCCCACTGCTGGAGCTGGGCCCTGCGCTGCCCTTCAGCGAGGGGGAGGAGGCGGAAGTGCTGGTGCGGAACCCCTGCTCCTTCCCAGTCGAGTTCTACTCCCTGGAGTTTGACAAGCAGCATTTGGAGGAAGAGAAGGTGAGGTTGTGTGTTTGCTGGTGAAAACTTTTGTAATTCACAGCAAGCTTCCATACATAGCAGACACACGTCTACATAGCAGACACACGTCTACATAGCAGACAAACGTTTACATAGCAGACACACGTTTACATAGCAGGCACACGTCTACATAGCAGGCACACGTCTACATAGCAGGCACACGTCTACATAGCAGGCACACGTCTACATAGCAGACACACGTCTACATAGCAGACACACGTCTACATAGCAGGCACACGTCTACATAGCAGACACACGTTTACATAGCAGGCACACGTCTACATAGCAGATACACGTTTACATTTGCATTTCACGTTTTTAGCAGATGTTTTTGTCCGAAGTCATGCACATGTGAGGCAAATAGCACATGAATATATGCTGACAAGGAGTCAACTAGGCATAAGTGCAGCTAGGCTGAGATTCCAATGAACGCCCAAGTACAAGTATAAGCGGGATTGGAGCAGGAGCTGCACAGCAACTTCTAATGAAGCAAGAACCTTATAAAATAATTCCTGGATCAGAAGCGAAGCTTAGGAATATTTAGGGAGCACTAGCAGTCTAATGAGGCATCATGCAGGAATTCATGGAATAGACATCTGATTAACAGGAAGGCAAACATTTCAAATGACCATTAGTGTTAATTAAAGTTGCTTTTATGCAGCTCAGGAATATCAAAGAATGAAAGTGTCTTTCCCAAGAAGACCTCATTCTTAGCCACTGTGCAACCTACTCTTGCTCTGCCACAGATCCTGTGTATGATGAAGGCGTACGCATCAGATAATGTTCTGCTGTTACCCCCCCGCGCCCCTGGGGAGACGCTGCCCCCGGAGCTGTTGGACTTTTACAGAGAGCAGAACACACAGAAGCCGGAGGAGGAAGGTTTGCCTGCTGCTTTCAGAGCCGTTTGGCGACCGAAGCGCTTTCTGATCTTCTGCAACTGTTTTTGTGAAATTATTTGTAGCCTTTTGTTTGACAAGTGATGGTAAGGATCTCGGTGGCTTTCTGGGTGCCAGAGCCGACGGCCACCGTGTCCCAGGAGAGGGAGCGTCCCGAGGCAGCCCTGAAGGATGAGAGGAGGGACACAGTGCAGCCAGGGGACCGCGAGTCTGAGGAGGACTGCAAGAGGGTCATGGACGAGTCACTTAATCGAGGTTCTGCTTGTAGGGATGTGAGGCGCTTTAATGAAGCCCTGAGGCGTCCATTAAAAACGGGCCTCAAATGACCTTGTTTATTGAAATTACTCCTCACCCCCCCACCCGGTTTGTCAGCTGTTATCATTGCCACTGACCCGCCACCCTCCCTCCCCTTCAACAACATTTTTTGTGCGTCTGGTAGACAGACTTAATCTTTGTCCCCGAGGCCAAGGGATATTAGTCACCCCTGAAATGGAGTCTTGCACGAGCTCGCGATCTGTCTTCAGCTTACTTAAGTAGCGAATGTTGATTCTTTACCATGATGCTGTTTTTCTCAGGACTGCTAAGAGATCTGGGCGGCAGTAAGGAGAGCGTCTGCGTGGGGGATCTGGAACTAAACCCTGTTTCCAGGGCCATCGCCCGTCACATGGGCATCGACCTCTCGCCGGCGGCTCATGCAGCTAGAAATCGCAGGGGCATCGCCATCATCGTTTACGGAGCTCCACTTTCTGGTATCTGTACCTGTCCCCTTCAATGCTACATTCTCATGTAAGACCACTCGGTGAGGACTTGGCGGGGAAAAGCATCTTTATTGGCAACATTTTCCCATTTCAGGGTTAGTCAGGAGCTAGAGGAGGTTAGAGGCTCTGGGGCTGGTGTCAAATTAGCATCTGAGTGAGTAGGGTGAGAGGAAATGGCGCACGCTGATACAGAGAGATTTTGAGAACAAGGGAGGGAACAAATCAATAGAAATGAATTCACACAGGTGCAAGCCATACATTTAAGATTGCCTTCCGCCTAATTAGGTGTACAGTACCTCACCTGATTTGTGTCAGTTTGTTGCTCTAAATCAGTGTCTCCCAATCCAGTCCTCCGGGACCCAGAGTCGGTCCATGTTTTTGCTCCCTCCGAGCTCCCTGTCAGACAGTCTACATTTTTGCTCCCAATGCGGACTGTCTGTGGGTCCCCAAGGACTCTCCCAGCTCTCCCACTCCCTACCAAAATACAGACTTAGTATTTATTACCGTATGCAGTTTCAAAATGAGTTTGGGGTGTTAAGCTGTAAAGCGAAGTGGGATACGAGATGAGCTGCTGCTTACCAGGTAAAACGGAGACGGCCGTGACCCTGGCGAAGTATTACGGAGCGGCGTGCCTGAGCATTGACGCAGTGGTGCGGGAAGCCGTCTCCAGTGGCCGCAGTACCGCCGGGCTCCAGGCGAGGCAGCTGTGTGCCAGGGCTGCCCAGGAAGAGGAGGCCGGTAAGTCATACTGAGCTCCCACAGACTCGCATCTCGCAGGACCTGCTGCAGTGGAGCCTGTTTGTCAGCTACGTTTGACTTCATACACATAATGTTGTACATTGTGTTATCTTTGTACAGTAGGTGTTCCAGCTTTATCATGGTGACTGGTTGAGTTAAAAATAAACCATGGATCTCTGTAACTTAAGGTCTTCGTATCTCTAAGCTGTCTGTTCAGCGTATAAATAAAACTGCATGCGTCTGTTAAGTAATGGTCTTCTTACCGTTCTGATGCACATTGTGCCCCCCTGCATCTAGCTCAAGCTGTTATAGGTCCAACAGCACCAGCTGGGGCGGGGGCCACCCTGAGCGAGGAGGCGCTGGCTAAGCACGCGACCGAGGACAACAAGACCACCGGGCACGAGCCGGCCTCCATCTCCATGCACAACAAGACCAGCCCCGCAGGTCCTGCTAGAAATGAGGTGGGCGGGATTACTGTGCTGTCAGTCACTGCCTGGAAGCCAATAAAAGTACCTAGCTGCCAGACTTGTGATAATCCTACAGGGCGCTTTTGAATCGTCAAATCTGATTGGTTGGAAGGGTGTTGATTAGTGATGTTTCAATAAATCTTCATGAACCATTTGCTGTATTTTCTGACCCCACTAGATGGCGCTCTCTGTTCATAAAAGGGCTCAGAGCTTGCACGGATGCAAAGAGCACCATTTAGTGTGGTTAAAAAATAAAACAAATGGTATAATTAGGTACAAACGTGTGAAATGTGTATTCACCGTGACATAAGCGAGTTAATGTACTCCAAGCCCTGTGCATCCAAGCCCTGTGCATCCAAGCCCTGCATTGTGCATTTTTAAACACACAGCCGCAGAGGCGAAGAACCACCCACTGTGCATTAACCCTTACTCATCCTGCAGGCGGCCCCGGCGTGTGGGGAGCTGAGTGTGGGGGAGGCCGTGTGGGGGGGCCGCGCAGAGCTGGGGGACTGTGTGCTGCCGGAGGAGCTGCTGGTGGACATGCTCTCAGAGAGGCTACAAGTGAGAGGGACCCAGCCTCAGTGAATATAACAGCCCATGTTATTACACTTTTGGTTTTCTAATTTATTTTTAATTTTTATATTATTCTCAATCTTCATTTGAAATCCAGTTTCATATTAGTTTTCAGCATGTTTTAATGGTTTGTTTGGTTTTTAATTTAAAGACATATCTATTTAATTTTAATTTCAGCTTAAGTTTAATTTTGAAATTTAAAAATGAACAAATCATGACTTTAGCTCAATACTTAAAAATAGTAATAGCATTTGACGTTTGCATTATTTTATTTCAGTGAATTTTGAAGGCAATATTTCTAGTTTTCGGTTAATTGTAGTTTTTATTTTCGTGCCTTATTTTTACTCATGTTTTTTTATAGTCTGAGAAATAGCTTTAGTTTTTGTTAACTCTGATAACAGCCCAGTGAATGTAACAGCCCAGTGAATTTAACAGCCCAATGTCAGTACATATACTGTATAAATCAGAGTGGTGGTTTGTTTAAGGACGTGCTTTTGTGAGGCCCAATCGGATTCCAACGTTGGGCAGATGGGCGGCTCCCTGCACTCTCATGATTTGGAGAAATCTTTTCATATAATAATAATAATAATAATCGCAGGATGAAATAACTTCACAATATCATCGTTATTTTCAGAACATCTGGGCTTCCTGTAGCTGCTGGCAAACACAGCTCTGCTTTTGATACTGTTTCATGTCATTTTCCCATATTTGATGTAGTTTATCCTTTAGATTAAAGGTCTAATTCTGGCTCATATGTGTGAATTGCAAGAACAAGTCGTGATGCGTCATGTTGTCTGCCTCCGCCGTGCGGCTCAGCTCAGCGACTGTCACCGCGGGGCGGTATTTGACGGGTTGGACACGACCTACTGCCACTCGCCGGCCAGTGCCCTGCGGATCCTCCTCAGGGCCTTCGACAACCGCCGCTTCATCTACGTGGTGAACCTGGTGCACACCTACCAGGACTTCCAAACCCGGGAGAAGGCAACGAGGGAGGCTGAAGGTAAGCATGGTGGTGAAGAGAGTCCATCTGGAAGGGTAGAGATACGAGGAGAATGGAGAGGATGGAGAACAAGGCAATGGGAGGCGGTACCCAAAGGAAAGGAAGCAACATGGTGCAGAGCAGAATAAGGAGGTGTAGAAGAACCTGTGTTGTTCATCTCTGTTTGTCTGTCCCTCAGAGAACCAGCAGAGGGAGAACGAGGAGCGGGAGAGGCAGCGTTTGCAGGAAATGGATGAAGATGAGTATGACGCCCTACCAGAGGAGGAGAAGGAGCGCATTGAGCTCAGGCGTCTGGAGGAAGTGAGAGAACGCAGGTACAGTCACACTGCTGCTGGAGGAGTCCAGCGTTCACTCGTATGTGACTGATCAGTGATCACACGTATTAGCGACCAGTGTAAATATCCTTATGTATTATGGGCGGGAAGGTATTCGTATATATTACTGGTAGTATGTATCATAAACATGTTTTACAGGCAGCGAGAACGGGCAGCACGAGAGGATGAGCGGCGGAGGAACCTCGAGGAACAGGAGAGACTACGGGAAGAGGAGGACTTTAAGAAGAAGAACAAAAAGATGAGGAGAGAGCCTCCAAAAGAGGATGCCTCGAGGAAGGAGAGTCAGCTGGGTGCAAAGCAGGTTTCTGTCGTGAAAATTAAACAATACATGCAGAGTCCTCTATAGCATGCAGGGGGCATATACAGGGGTGAGGCCACAGAGGCACTGGGCTCAGCTGAAAGCTGATTGGCCCCCTGAGTGCTCCTCCTCTGTCACTCAATGATTCAAAACATATCATTGGCTAAAGGTATGTATGTAAAATCTTTGGAATGTAAAATCCTGGAATCACCCTTGGCAACATGTCTGTGAAACTCTCCTGCATGTTTAAAAATAGGCCTGTGTTTCACAGTCATCCGCTGGTCTGCGCTCTGACTCAAAGCTGGACCAGCCCCTCAAGGAGACAAAAAAGACGCCCTCTGTGGATAACATGGAGTCCAAAGAATCCCCTACAGAGGGCGCCAGAGAGCAGGAGGATGGGGCTAAATGGAGGAGGAATATGGAGGGGAAGGGAGGCGGACGGGAGGAGTCTCCGATGCTCAGTGACGATCCGGAGAAAGAGCAGGTGACTGTAGGGACACACCAACGTGGTGCTACAAATGTCCATTTTCCTCATCTTTAGGTAATTCCTGTGCATATCTAGAGGAAATAATATTTGTTAACAGATAAAAGTTTTTTAAATTTTAATTCAGTAACAGCCACAAAAATTTGTTTATCCTTTGACTGCTACTGGAAGTTAATTGTAAATAGGATATTTGACTTTAAAAGGCTGCACTTCCTTACATCTTGTTTCTTCTCCTCCGTTTAAAAGACTGCAGAATCATTAGGGAGACTCACATAAATAAAGAAATGCTGCTTTGTTTGCTATTTGTGCTTGTTTTCATATATCTCATCTTGCTCTCCTTTTGAGACACACACACACACACACACACACACAATTGAAAGCACAGCTTGGGGTCCAAGTGCAGGGTTGGCTGTTTATCCGATGCCCCTAAACACTTCTTTTGGAGGGGAGGGGCTGTTAAAGTCCTTGCTTAAGGTCCCAATGGACATGTGACTCTTCTGCCGTGGGCTGGATTCAAGCCAACACCTCTCCCTTGCTGGACACACGCAACCCCCCCATTCATAGTACAGCCCCAGTCATTGGCCGGGTTTCAGTGGTTTTCATTTTCCAGTGACCGTCCTGCCGCTACCCCCCCCCCCCCAAGCAGGGCCACAGGCTGCTGCAGTCTCGCTTCAGGCGGTACGAGCTGAGCCAGGCCCAGGTGGTCTACATCCTGCAGCACTGGGACAGGTCCCAGGGTCTGCTCCTCCAGACCCCCTCCGTCGAAGACCGACTGGAGGAGCCAGCACTCACCTCCCGTGAGGGCCAGGCCTCCTCTGGCAAGAGGGGCAAAAAAGAGCGGGAGCGAGAGAAGGCAGAGAAGGAGCAGAGGAAACAGAAGATGGACGTCCCCGAGTCCAGGCTGCTGCCAGCCTCTCCAGCTGCCGACAAGGCTCCGCCACTAGGGGGCGACGGCCCGGAGGGGGCTGACAGGGAGCTTCCCTCAGAGGGGGTGCCCCACCTCATCGTCCCTGTGAGTGGGAGGGGCCAAAGCAGCGGCACGGAGATCCTGCAGAACCAAGAGCTCCCCCTACTGGAAGAGGTGCCCTTTGTAACGCAAAAGTGCAGCCGCTTACACAGCAGCATAAGAACCAAGCACATCTTTGTTGTCATTTTGTATGTTTCATATGCCATATGCAATTTGCTCACTTATGACCTCATTTATTATCTCGTTTACCAAGCTGTAGTACACGTCCCCAGAGGCTGCTGTGTTCTGTTGAGTTGAAATATTTTTAATGCAAGTATTAATCTTGTTCTTGATGTGCTACACAGCTTTGGATTTTAGTAGAACAGGTCAAATATTTCATGTATTCTAAATAACTGTATCGTGAGTAGTGGTGAGATGTCACTGGTATTTATGTCCATAAGGTCCTGGATGGCCTGGGACTGGGACCCAGAGGCCCCCCTGTCCCTCCTCCAGTCATCTTCTCCATGGTGTCATTCCCCCTGAGAAGCCAAGGTGTCGGCGAGCAGCCCGCCTCTGCATGCTTCACCTTCATGGTACCGTCAGCGGCCGAGGACACGTCAGATGACCGGAGGGAGGGGGAGAAGGATGGGGAGACACTGACCTCCATCCCTCTGCTCAAGGTATGGAGAGCCTTGCTGTGCGTGTGGAACCAGCTGAGGGAGAACTAGTGGAACAAATGAGAATTGTAAGGAGTAGAATTGGAATATTAAGATGGCGGCATTGGGCCCGCTTACAGGAGGAGCCTGAGACCCCCACCAAAGGCAGGGGGAGGAAGGCTGACGTGAGCAGGGAGGGCCATAAGGAGAGGCGTCGAAGCCCGGCCAAGAAGGCTGCAAAGGTCCCAGACGCCCGCTCCCCCCCCATCGCTGCTGGTGCCCCCATGCTGGAAGCAGAGCAGAGCAGCCAGGCAGAGGTGCAGCAAGAGCGAGACCAGAAGTGAGGCTGCTGCTTGTAATATAATTAAAACCCCACCCTGACCCTGAATAGAACAAGTGGTTACAGAAGATGGATGGATGGTTGGATGAAATCATAATACTGCTGACTGTACTAAAGTATGAATGTCCCTGAGCAGGGAGACCCCGCTGACTGTACTAAAGTATGAATGTCCCTGAGCAGGGCCCCCCCCCCCCCTTATGCACACGCAGCACCATCCTCCCCCTTCAGGATTCATCTCCCTGTCACGTAAGCCTGTGTCTCTTGCAGACTGACCACCTTCCGCTGGGTCATACCTCCTGCCGGGACAGTGACGTTGAAGATCAGGTTCTACTCATCCGTGCCGGGCAAGTTCAACCAAGTGCTGAACTTTGAGGTGATGGACACCAGGAGGCGCTATCAGCTGCACTGCAGGGGGATTTGTGGTTTCCCATCCATCAACAAAGACTACAGGTACAGCACTTGAGTGCTGTGTCTCGGCTATGAAGACGAGGCTGCGGGCATCTCATCACTGCAGTCGTAGACCACAAGGGTGTGTGGTCAGTAATACAGCGTGTAAGCGGTCTGCATTACTTGGTCCCTGTGTTGCAGGGATGTGTTTGCACACTGTAAGGAAGCCCAGCTTCCCGGGAGCAATGTGAGCAAGACGTACATTGCCCACTCTGGCTCATACGAGTTCGGCCCCCTGCTATGTGGGAAGAACAGAGATAGGTAACGTATGCTTGGCCTAGACAAAACTCTTTGACTACAGAGCATCTTTTGGATAATGATATTGGGCGACTATTCTTTTGGTTCATTGTGTGTACAGCAAATGAGCTGTATCTGCATATATATGTGTATATATACTGTATATAACTGAAAGTTAAATCTTATCAAAAGTTTGGCCCACAGAATAGGTTTTGTTAATTTCTGTCACGGTCATTACCTGCTATCAGCAAAGGACGTATTAAGGTATTGGGACAGAGGTTCGGTTTTGAATGTAACTCACGCCCCTATCAACATCTACTTGTGATTACTACCTGTGGGGCAGGTATAAGGAGGAGAGGTACCCAGAAAACATGGAGACGCTGGTCATGCACAACTGCTCCCCTCTGAAGGCCGAGATTCATTTCTGCTTCCAGCATGACACCAAAGCCGCGACCTTTATGCTGGACCCCCCTAGCATGACCCTCAACCCCAACGAAAAGCAGGTGCAGCTGCATCATCTCCGAAGCTCTCAGTAGCGTAAACTACAAGTACCAACTCAAACAATATTTTTTTTCTAATAAATTTACTGCATAGATTTACGCTCAATGAGAGTAACCCTACCACAAATTCAGTATTTATATTTATATTATTGGATTGGGATGCACTGCGTTTGCTGGAAGGCTGCGCAGAGAGGTTACAGGTGGAGCCCTTGCTGAGATCCTCCCCCTCTGCCCCCTCTGCCCTGCTCCAGGGGCTGACAGTGTGGGCGTACCCCACCACCCCAGGCCTGCTCGAGGACAGCATTGTGTGCTGCGTCAGAGACAACCCTGAGCCCGCTGTCTTCCGTATCTCCTGCTGGGGGGTCCGGCCTGAACTGGACTTGGATCGCAAGCAACTGCAATTTGACAAAGTCCTGCTGAACAGGTCTGATTATGCCCCCCCCCCGCCGCCCAGCCCACCTCCATGCAGCTGGAAAACACCGGTTTGCAGTTAAATATACACTGACTGCCCAGAGGCAGACATTTCAGGTCCAGAAAGTAAAAATCCAAACCAGGATTTTGCTTCAACCAGCCAGTTGAGTGCAATGTGACTGAGACTCTTTATGCTCAACTGGCTGGTTGAAACAAAATCCTGGTTTGGATTTTTACTTTCTGGACCTGAAATGTCCGCCTGCTGCTATGCTGATACCATGATTTACATACCTATGTAACCAAATGTATCAGTTCATTCTTACTTTGCTTCACAGGTTATTTATTGACTCTTGTCTGCCTTAAGTCTGCTTTAAAATCTCTTCTACTTTTTTCTCCTCATTATTTACCTCTTCTTCCTCCACCACCCATTCTTCCTCTGTGTGTAATTCTTGCTCTGCCTTTCATTACCTTAGGAAGGTCACAAAGAGCCTGTGTCTTCGTAATAACACCCTGTTGCCCGTGGCCTGGAGCCTGAGTGGTCTGGAGGCCCTGGGGGAGGAATTTACCGTGTCCCTGGACCGGGGCGTCATCCCTGCGCAGTCTCAGTACAGTCTGCAGGTTCACTTCCGAGCCAGCAGGCCCACCAGCCTTAAGAAGGCCATTCGGCTGGAGGTGTGGCTCTTTAGGGAACGATACAGGAAACGGGAAACAGGAAATGGGAAACAGGAAACGGGAAACAGGAAACGGGAAACAGGAAACGGGAAACAGGAAATGGGACACAGGAAACGGGAAACAGGAAGGAAGCATTCTGACTCTGAAGGGCTTACGCAGTGCTTTAGTCCTTGAATCAGCAAGTGAAATTACGAGCGAATTAATTACTAAATCCCTGTATTTTACGATAATCTAAGCGAACACATACAATTTATGACTTTTCAAACCAAAAATACAAGTGAAATACTAAGAAAATATAATATTGAGTCTGATTTAGTTGCATAATATTTTTTGTTAGGTACAGCTACAGTGCAGATATTTAGTAATATGGTTCTCTATCCCTTGACGCTGACCTGTATACTGTACGTGCGTCCCAGGTTCTGGATGCGGATAACATCCTCGGCGTTGTCCATACAGAACACATCCAAATCCAAGCTGAGGCGTATGACGTCTTGTTAGACATTACATTCCTGAAAGGATCTGGCTCAAATGGCTCTAGTAAGGATGGTTTCTGAAATGAGAGTTTGCCTGTTTGATTACATGATATACGTATCTTTTGCATTCATGTGACCTCTGTTCTGTGTAGTTATATGGCATGCAGACTTTGTATATAACCTTGGTTTATGACTTTGATTGACCTTTGACACGGTGGACACGGTATTTCATCTTAATTGACCTTTAACGTAGCTGACATTGTGTTTGAATCTTAATGAATTTATTTGTGTTTGCTTTACAGAATCAGACAGCATCCTGGACTTTGGGACAATCAGAGTCTCGGAGGAAGCCAAACTTTCCCTGGCTTTGAAAAACAAAGGAAAATATGAAGTTGCTTTCAAGTGAGTTATATTTGCAAAGCAAAATAGGCAAATGTTCGATATGCTACTATATATCTCTATATATTTATGGAATAACCTTTTGTGAAACATTATAAGGAATTGAAGCTAAATTGTTAAATGACAGATTTGTAATCTATAATTCAGATATATACCTAATTATTCAGTTTTCAGTTTTTCCCATAACTATTCATCAGACTCTTTTGTTGTTCTTCTGTCTTCTCTCTGGTTCTCAGTCTCCATCCTTTACCTCATTTTAATCTCTCTCCTTCTTTCTACCCGGTTCTAATAGGTTCCTGCTGAAAGGCGCTGACCAGCTAGGGCCAGACCCCAACTCCCTGGTCACTGTCACCCCTTCCAGTGGCTCACTCCATCCCAATGACCGGCCCAGCACTGTGCAGTTTGTCTTCCAACACAACAAAGAGGTCTTCATCAGAGAGCAACCAATCATATCCCTCCAGGTCAGATGACCCCGCCTCCAAAACATTCTGGTATCAAGCAGACATTCCTGAAGGGTAATGCAATATTTATATGTCTGCCTGCTTTTGTTTTTTAATTCTCTTCTTGTTCTTCTGGATTTGATTATATTTCATCATTTGACACGTCACAGCACACATGTATGTGTTTAGTAGACAAGTTAGTGTAAGTAAAGCACGTTGGCGTCTCTCCCAGGTGATCGAGCCAATCATCAAAGAGGGGGGTGAGGTCATCGGCATCATGCCTATCAAGGTGTCGGTCCAGTCCCTCTTCAGCAAATACAGCATCTCCCCCTCCGAGACGAACTTCGGCCCGCTGGTATACGGCACTCGCAAGTGCCTCACCTTCACCATAGAGAACAGAGGAATGTTTGAGATGCGTTTCAGTATCTGCAGGATGCCCCACGACCAGTCTGTACCCTCCCAGAGAAAAGGGTATGACCCCCCCCCCCCCCCCCTCCCCCCCCCTCCGGGCTGCCCATGTCCAAAGCCTCCCTGGGTGGAACTCTAACCCTTAGGGTGCTCCGGGCCTCCTGTCCGTGTGTGAATGCCTGTCCTGTTTCTCCATTTCTCTTTTATCTGACTCCAATTGTAATTCTAATTCAAAGTGCTTTATTGACATGAAATATATATGCTGATCATTGCCAGGACTTGGTGGAAACCATGAATTAATCTTCCAAATCTATGGAAACTGTGAACAATTCAGTTTTATCATTCCGTGTTCCTGTGCAGCTGTGGCAGAGAGACACAGATTGTTCTGCAAGATGAAGACTGCCAGTCCTTCTCCTAGAAGAGCTTTTCTTTGTTTCGTATCAGAATTCTGGCTAATTTGGAGCCACATGTGCTGTCCTTTCCTGCATCACGTGTGCTGTCCTTTCCTGCATCACGTGTGCCATTTGGCCATTTCTTGGTGCTTCATGGTGGTAGAGATCACTTAGTAAATACTTTAACTTGTTATGCTTCGAATACTCAGTTCACAGTAGCTGATCTCACCTCCTTGGGACAATTGGGCCTGTGTTGTATGTGAATAATCATATTGGCAGTTAAGATTTTCTTCTTGGTAAACAGTGAGCTGAATACCTTAGCATATTTAATGAGGGAGAGGGTCTCACGTATCGCTGCTTCATAAGCACACAAATAATGAGATCATTTACTTAGCATTTCTAGTCTGCATATACTTATACAGGCACTGTACACTTAAGTAGTAATATACTAGAAGGAGTGCAGTAGTACTCCTATATATCACCACCGTGAATCGGCCGGAGATAATCACAGCCATGATATATTGGAGTACATTGGAGTACAACCGCACTCCTTCAACTATGTTGTTGCTTTTATACAACAGTTCATGGAGTAGCATTTATAAGGTAACAGTAATATGATACAGCAAATTTTGTTTACTTATTTAAACATTTATGGGCCTCCGCAAACAAAAATAGTTCCCATAACGTCAGCGAAAGTCTACTGCGTCCAAACCTTCCGGTATAGTTTCATCTAATATTGCCGGTGTCGGCAGTGAAATGGCTAGCTAGCCGATTAGCAGAATAACGTCGCATGATAAATTTGAACCATCCCGCAGGTCAGGTGTCTGTGTGTGTGTAATATTAAATATTATTACAATATTTTATATATAGACTTATAGCATTATAGGTGTTATTACTAATAAATGGTAATAATAATGATAATAATATAGGACAGGATATTATCATAATTGTTGTTATTACCTCCATTAGGATTATATTATTTTATTACCGTGTCTGTGTGACAGAGGATATGCTTACCACTTTGAGGCTCGAAGTCACATGACCTATACAATATCGCAGGATATGTTAGTGCCACATCGGGAACTAACTTTAATGATCCAGCCTACTGAGTTCTCTGTAGAAGCGTCATGTCCGGCCCCACAGTGGAGATCCTTCTGGCCGAGTCTGCAGCCAGATGCTCTTGGACCAGCTCCGGCTCCGTGTTGGTAGAAATGAGGCTTATAGGACTCCTCTTGTCCAATCACATTCCTTGGTTGGAACTACAGTATCTGTTGTATAATCTCAATTACAATAGATTTTTTTTGGCTTAGGCACTTCTTGGCTTCGCAGGGTAATCTCCATGGCAACCAGCTCAAATGTACCAATTTTTTTCTACAGCGCTAATGGGTGTTTAAAATTTTAAATTCTTGGACGAAGTCTAATTAGGTATTTAAATAGATAGCTCAAAAGCCTAAATTTTATATATTTTTCTTCACTTTGTTTTAGTTTTCTTACCTTTTCGGTATTAGATTTTTTCCTGTCCCTGTTTATCGTTACAGTTCTATAGCATGAAGATGGGGGGGCGGCACAGTAGCACTAATGCCTTGCACCTCCCGAGTTGGGGGTTTAAATCCCACCTCCGGTGGGTGTGGAGATCACACGTGTGGGTTTTCTCTGTCTTCCTCCCACGCTTCAAAGATGCTCATTTAGGCCAACTGGCATCTCTAAATTTCCCATAGTGCCCTGCGATAAACCTGCATTGGGCCTGTACTGCCTGTGATAGCGAATAGAAGATGGATGACTTTGGTGTCACATTGGTTATGTGCATCTGTAATGTGATGCCCAGTGTCGTCCATGTGAATTCTCATGCTGGCTGTGTCCTGCAGCACGGTGACTGTGAAGCGCACGCGCTCGCGGGAAAGCTGCCCGGCAAAGCCCCCTTCTGGCAGCAAAGTGCGCCGCATGGAATCCATACAGCGGGAAATGGGATTATCTTCACAGGTGAACACGGCACCTATTCTCATAACTAAAGTAGAGCTAATTTAGTACAAAATTGGCACATAAAATTACATAAAAGGTATCAAGTATCATTTTTCAGACAAATGTAAGTTGTGCCTCCTTTTTGGACATTACTATCTCCCTACCCCTCCCTCCCCCCCCCCCCCCCCAGGCTCGCTTGACAATGGGGGTGTTTTCCGTGGCCCCCTGTGTCGGCGTCTTGGCTCCCGGAGCTCAGCAGGTGGTGACGGTGGACTGCGTTGCTGACCAGGCAGGCAGCATGGAGGAGTGCATCGCCATCGATATCTCCGAGCGCGACCCCAACCACCACCCCAACGGGATCCCATATCGGCTGGCAGCCGAGGTCTGCGTGCCAGGTGTGTATGGGGTCGCAAATGTCAGATATGAGCACTCTATACCATTCTTAGCATTGGATGTCTTCCATTTCTGTCTTATGGTACTGTACTGATTTATTCTGTGTGTGTGTGTGTGTATGTGTGTGTATATATGTATATATATATGTATATATGTATTAGTTATTTATATATGTTTTATTTATAGGAGGAGGTTCTACTATCCTGGGGTTATTTGTTATTTGTAATTCATGGACAACAAAATGTCTTTATTCTAAAGAATTATCTGACACAGACATACTTTATAACTTTCTCATCTGGAATTTTTAAATAGTTTATCCTTTTCTGATGCTAAGGTTCTCTTTTTCATCTAGTTTAATGTTTATTGAAAGCACCCAGCGCCCTCGGAGTCAGTCTTAGGACCCGGGGGGGGGGGGCCCGCCGAGAGGCACTGCTGGGAACCCCCCCCCTGTACGGTCACATGACCATATCCCATCTGTCCACGTAGAGATCGTGTGTGACGACATGGCGTCTGTGTTCGAGGAGCATCGCACCTGCAGAAACAGCAGCCAGCTGGACTCCGAGGAGTACAGAGACGCAACCGGCATCTACATCCAGGATGAGAACAAGTTCATCTTCTGTAATGTGCTGGTGGGCCAGAGTGCCAGTGCCCGCTTTGGCATCAGCAACACGGGGAAGGTGCCCTGTGATCTGAGCCTGGCCATCAAGTCCGCCATGAGCAGGGTTAGTGTGTGTGTGTGTGTGTGTGTGTGGGGGGGTTTGCCTTTGACACACTGTTAAGACTGAAGCATTATACATCATACACTAATGATATTTTTCAATTCAGGTCAATTCAATTTACTTTTACATAGCGCCTTTCACAATAGAGTCGCCCTAAGCCACTTGACCACAGAGCATCAGAATGGTGCATGAAACAGAAAAGAAAGGAAGAAAAGAACCGTAAGACCAGAAGGCAACAATGTGGATTAATGTGGAGGAGATGCTGGAAGTGACCTGATCCACTCCTGGCAGTGGGGAGACTCCTTTGAAGTGACAGGCAGGTGCTTTTGCTCATTTCAGGCATCCGGTCGCTCTGCCGAGGTCTTCGAACTGACGCCCACCAAGCTGTGTGTCCCCAGCCACTCGCGAGCCATGGTGGTGGTCACCTTCTCCCCCCAAAGCATGCAGACGTACAGCGCTGTGTTTGAGGCCACGCTGGAGGCTTCGGCCAGGTACCAGACCTCTGTGCGTGACTGTGCGTGTGCATGTTTAGCTGTCCCCACGAGGTAAGATAACATAAAATTATTCTTCCTGTGAGAAACTATTGTGCTAAGGCAGAGCTCTCACTGTGCCAGATTAAAGCAAGAGAGCTTCAAAATACCAAAAATAAAGAATGCAATATACAGGTTGTTGTTGACTTACGACTGATTGATTTTACGACCGTTCCGAGACTGCAAATGTATCGCCACGACTGCTGGCATCACGAGCACCCCCCCGAGAAAATGGTGATAAAAAGGTTAAAAAACACCAAATATTATGACTTAGATGATATAATTTTTTAATACAGTATACTATACATATGATAATTTTTACATATAAAATAAAGGCCAGACTTTCGACCAACTTGACCTTCAACCGGTCAGTCAGAACCGATAGTCAAGTCGTAAGTCAAAGGCGACCTGTAATACAAAAATACAAATGTATTAGAAGTGTAATTCAAGTAGAACACACGTGTAAAGTCTAGTATAAAGACAAGCTACTTTGTAACATCTTATTTGGTTTAAACGAAAACCTAAACTGCGGAAAAGCCGTCCACTGCCTGGCTTAGCCTGTTTCTGAGCTTTAGTGGTTTGGACTCAGATCGTTGCTTGCGGTACTTGGGCCATCAAGCTCCTTGCTTGCTGCAGCTCGGCCCCCTCGACCCGGACGAGAGCCCTGGCGTTCGAGCTGGCGGGTGACGGCCACCTGCCCCGCGTGACGGTCCTGCGGCCACTGCTGCGGACCCCCCAGGGTGGCCTGCTGCTCCAGTTCAGGCCCGTGCTGGTGGGCCGCAGCCGGACCCTGCCTCTGGTGCTGAAGAACGACGGCACTGTGTCCGCACAGGTGGGAACGGGTCCCTCCGGACCGGAGGGTCAGGCTTGCGAGTAGGTGACTGTAGCCATGGAAACTTTAGCCATTTTAAGAGAGTTAAGCTCTAGTTTCATGTAATGATGCCCCAATAAAGCTTCATGAACCATTTTCTGTATTTTTTGACTCAAAACATTCCTTGAGTTTATTTTTTCAGGGGGTTATATTAACTGCATAGCCAGTTGTGTGAACTTGAAATGAGAGGCACGAATATTGATATTGTATATGTGGTTTTAATTTTTTTTAATTATCATTATACATTTTTTAAACACTAAATATCTTTCAGACTGAAACTTTGAAATTGCAGAATTCTATTTCATGAGTCTACCAGTCAATCTGGCAGGGTTGGGAATTCTATGGTAACATTACACATAACTTTACTAGTTATCACCGGTAAATGGCAGCCTCGGTTTAACAGGTTCACATTGATCTTCTGGATGAGACGGGCGTCTTCACACTGAGGGCCATTGCAGAGCCTGTGGAGGACAGAGACGCCGTTCTCACAGACAGCCAGGCTCACAGAGGTAAGGCGACCTTTGACCTATTCTCTCATTTACTACCATTTTCGTTTAATATTTGTTGACCCCCCTGTGACCCTGGATAGGACAAATGGTTACATAAAATGGAGGGATGGATGTGTGGATGGATGGATGGATGGATGGATGTGTGGATGGATGGATATTTAGTAGAATAGTATTGGATTTTTTTTTTTATTGATTTCAGACCACCACTCAAAATGCTTTCTTTATTGAATGTAGTGTACTTTCATATATATAAATAAAAAACCTTTTCAATCATGGCAGTTACAACATAACAGTTAGTATCCCATTAAAATATAACATTTGAAAACTGTTACTTTAGAGCCCAACTATCCTGAAACATTGTAAAATAAATTTCTGGTGTAAATGGCCACTACCAGGGTTATTATTCAGCACAATGCAGTACAGTAATACTTCCCCTAGAGGAAAATCACATTTAATGATGTAATAACTCGTAACACGTTACCTTCTGTAGAGGGCAGAGCACCACAGAGAGCCTCCCTGTTCCTCACTGTGGGGCAGCAGGCAGAGTTCGAGGTGGAGTGTCGACCCACTGCAGAGATGAGCTTTGAGGCCAAAGTGCAGCTCCTGGTGGTGGACAACCAGTATGAGGACACGATGGTCCAGCTGGTCGGGGATGGGTACAGGGATGTCATCACCCTCGACAACGTTGGCAGCAAAAGTTTGCCCGAAAGTGAGACTGCAGATGGTAAGGAAGCAGAGGATATTCACCAGCTATAAGGTCAGCATCATGTCTGGAAAAAGAATATGCTAGAAATCAAGCTTCAAGGGCCAACGGTGCAGGGGTGGGGAACCCGGTCCACAGTAAGCTGCTGTGGGGCAGGTTTTTGTGATGACCTCACACTCAGTCAGTAATAAAGCAGTGGTACTCACACATGATTGGTCGATTGAGAGGTCATGCCAATAAGCTGCACCTATGGCGTCTCTCCATGGAACAGCTTCCCTACCATGGTGGGTTCAAATTTTCGTCCACCTCTGCTTAGTTCAAGCCAATGGGGTTTACTTGACTTAATAAATCTGACGCTTTTATCCAAAGCGACTTACAGTAGAAGGAAGGGCTACAGTTTATGTCTGCTCCCTGGGATTCGAACCCAGTGCCACATACCCCTTGTGGAGTCAAAAGAAGGTTGCGCTGTCACTGTGTGGCTTATGAAGAACGCTCTGCTTTTTTAAGGAAACACATCAGACATTCTACACTTTGGGGTCTGTCACGTGGCCAAGCCCTACCAGGAGACCTTCACCATGACCAATCACAGCAGCTCCGACGTCCTGAGGTTCGAATGGCCCCCCGAGAGCCGGCAGGTGCGGTTCTCCCCCCAGACAGGTCACCTCCACATGGGCTGCTCCAAGGAGGTGAAGGTGACGTTCTGCTCGGAGCAGCCGGTGGTCCTGAGTGCCCAGCCCGTGAAATGCAAGCTGTGCAGGGTGGTCTTCACACAGCCCATCGACCAGGTGCCCGACTGGGATGACCGGCTCAGAACCATAAGATGGGTCGATGTCCTGAAGCAGGCGGTTGCGACCCAACCAGCTAAGATGAAGGTGACCTGCATGGCCTCCTCTTCAACAGTATTATTAGAAACAAGCTAAAATCAATTGACCTCATTTAAGACTTACAGTTCTGCAAATGATTTACCGCTGTGGATAACTTGCTGTTTTTTATTTTTGTTACCACTATGGAGATTTGGGGAAATTAATATACAAAAGAGACACAATGAATCCCAGTAAGTGAACATAATACTTACAGAGATGTAACACAGCACACTGTTTCCTTAGAGACCCCTCCCAGCTCCCAGCCAATCAGTGACGCCAAATACCTTTTACAGATGTGCAAGGTGTGAGTCCCGCTTATGACATAATGTTAAAAATTATATATATCGTGGCCATGTTTTACTAATTCGTTCCCACGATGTATTAAATTGTGTCCATATTTATTTTACTAATTTGTTCTCTCGTTTTATTTAAATCCTTGGCACGTTTCATTAATTAATTCCCACAATTTATTAAAACGTGGTCACATTTTACTTCATAGCCCTCTTATTGTCCAATGCATCACTTTCATTTAGACCAGGGGTGGCCAATCTTACCCGCAAAGGGCCGGTGTGTACGCTGGTTTCTGGGATAACCTGTAGGTCAGCTCTTCAAACCCAGGAGTGAGGACTCTTCAGCCAATCAGTCCTCTAATTAGTAATCTAATTAGGGAGCTGCAGCGAAAACCCGCATACACACCGGCCCTTTGCGGATAAGATTGGCCACCGCTGATTTAGACCATACACATCTGACCATCTGCATCTGCTGGTATGGGCAGAGATATTTTAAATTTTATTTTATTTTTTATTACATTGTTATTATTATATTAAGGGCAAGGGGTTTAAAAGTATGGTAAATAGCCTACATCACCATGACTACTGTAAATGTAATATTGTTGGAGTAAAACGTGGCCACGTTTTAATTAGGATGAGGGAATGGATTAGTAAATCGTGACCACGATATATAACTTTTTATTGTTATCGTTCCCACTAATTAGTTAAGCGTGGTCACGATACATATAATGTTTATCGTCGTGTAATGAGCAGAGCTGCAGAGCTGCTGGCTGGGAGGGAGCATACGTTTGGACTGTCTGGGTCGAGGTGAATGTTTATGATTAAAATGTGTACTAACCCAGTCTGGGATAAGTCTAAAGAAGACCATCAATGGTGAGCTTCACTACACATTGGTCAGAAGGCTGTAAGAAATTCACCAGAAAAGTCTTTTTGACTCAGGTGATCCAGAGTGACCCCGAGCCGGCCCACTCCGTGGTGGAGAACTCGTCCAGGGAGCTGGAGTTACGTATTAATGCTGTGTGCGATTATGCCAGGTTCACCTGCAAGGCGGAAAACATTCGCTTCAAAGACACAATGTTGTATCAGACTCGGATATTCCAGTAAGTAGTATGTGTCCCTCTGTATCACTTGACCATGGTAAATTAGCGTTTTACTGCGCATCACAAAATTTCCCTGCTTTTAGGTTCCAGATGATAAATTCAGGTGATATACTGCTCGAGTTCACCTGGCAGGTGCTAATGGACCAAGCCGGACCGGCTGTCGGCTTCGATCGAGGAGGTAACTGTGACATAGTACACCAGTAAAATCGGTTGTACATTCTATCACTCCAGCTAAATCTAGTAAGATCTTACAGCTGAGGTTCCAACCAGTTAGTCTTCATCTTGCAGTTCTTCCTGCCATATACACTGACCTGATGGAATGTCTCACTCTGTACTGTGGTACTTCAGTACCGTCTGGATGACAATAAATATTAGCATCCCAAGGAGGGTTTAATTTCTGTGATAATGGGTCTGGACTGTGACCTTCAGACACGGCTGCTGGGGGGGTCTCAGTACATCCGTTAAAGGTCATACTGCATGCTAGGGGCCACAAATTCAGCACTTCTCTGGTTTTAATGCCGCCGCACAGCTTCTTTACATAGTGTGAGCGGTGATGAACAACTGTGGGGGGGGGGAGTCACGAATCACAGGAGCACCGATTAACTCTCTTTAATGCTTCTGGAAAGGATGTGGTTGCTTTACCTAACGCCAGGCCTAAGATAGAATCAGAATCAACGAATAAGGGGAAACTCTTTCGTGGAGGGGGCACAAATCCTTACACTATATGGGCAATAGTAATGGCACACAGCTCTTAACCAGTGAATTCACCTTTCATTCAGACCCATTGTCACAGGTGTGTAAAATCAAGCACCAAGCCTTTCAGTCAGGTTTACAAACATTTGCTAAAGAATGGGTCCTTCTGAAGAGCTCATTGAGTTCAAGCGTGGTATGGTCATAGGAGGCCACCTTTACTATAAGTCCGTTTGTGAAATTTCTTCCCTGCTAGATATTCCACGGTCACCTGTAAGTGATATCATTGCAACATGGAAGCATTTAGGAACAACAGAAACTCAGCCATGAAGTGACAGAGCATGTAAAGTAACAGAGCAGGGTCACTGAGTGCTGAGGCACAGCCTTCTGTTGGCTCAGTGACGGAATTTTGAATGTGATGTCATAAAAGATCCTGTAGGTGTAACTGCCAGGTGTCCCAGTACTTTTGTCCATGTGGTGTATTAGTAACTCATTTACTACTGAAGTACAAATCATGAACAAACATAGTAGCTACTTAAAATGAAAGATACATGAACAAACATGAGATGAGTATTTCACAAAGTGTTACCGAATGAGGCAGTGTTTCTGAATCCAGTCCTCAGAGACCTCCTAGACAGTTCACATTCTGGGTATCCGATGTTCTTGATCACTTTATAATTTGGTTTAGGTGTGCTTATTCCAGTGTGAGAAACACTGGAATAAGAACAGCTTCCTTAAGAACGGCTTTTTCTCTCACTGTATGACCAGATTCATGACCGTAATATGGCAACATTTTACTTTTGCCAGAAACCATAATAAGAAGCACATATTGGGTGTCTTTCTTAGGAACCCCCCCGCCTGCAGCCCCTCCCCCGCCTGCAGCCCCTCGTTCCCAGCACGCCCCCAGGGCGGCGTCCCGTCCAGCCAGTGCTTTGGAAAGTGTTTCAAACTTGCTCCTGGGAGACCCCAACCTGCCACCGTTCTCCGTGGAGCCCAGTGCCGGGACCATCAACCCTGGGGACAGTCTGACTTTTTGCGTCCGGTTCTCCCCGCTGGAGGTGTCCGAGTGGGAGGGTCTGCTCATCTGCAGGTCAGGCACCTTCTACTCGGAGAAGACCAAGGGACATACAGTAACTGAAGGATGCAGATCATTTAACCCAAAATATGTCACTGTAAAACAAAATCAGGCAGGCTCTGGTTATAGGGTTAATGCTGTTGAAATGAATAGACTTTTGTAGTCACTGTGCTGTTGGTTGAAGGGTGACTTTGCCTGAAATGCTGGTTTTTCTATTTTCCTCTGTGCCCTCATGTCCCTGGGCAGCGTCCCCAACCTACAGGACGGCCAGGGCCCCTCATTGGCTGTCAGGGGCCGCAGCCTCCTTCCCGACTGTCACTTCCATCTTGAGGACTCAGACTACCTCAGCGGGGGCCGGCGCAACCCTGACATGCAGGGCCCCAGTGGGGCCCCTCCCCGGGCCACCCTGGACCCCAACACAAGGGTCATCGAGGTGTCCTCAGTGGGCATTGGCACAGCCATGTCAAAGTAGGTGGCATCACTGTGGCCTGCAGAAATGCCAGAATGATCCAACAACTGCAAAGTGGGAGATACTGGCACAACCATGCTGTAGAAACCAAAATGCTGGCTTTGACACTGATTTTTTTCAGCTAATTGTCGCTCTTCTGCTCTCCGCAGGGTGTTCAGTATTGTGAACCCCACCAGCAAGTCCTACTCGTTCATGTGGACTTGTGAGGGCTTACAGGATGCTACTTTCAAGTGCCTGACTCCCAAGGGCTTTATCCAACCAGGAAAAAAAGCAGAGGTAGTGTGTTTGTTAGATGTTCTAACAAAAGCTAGGTAACCATGGAAACATATGTAGATAAGGTCTCCAGAAAGAGACACTAATTTGTGGTATGTTCTCCCCTCCATAACATAACTACACCAATGTGCCACGTTTTTTGCCTCTAGGTCTCTTTTGAGTTCCGGGCCCAGGACCTGAACATTGCGGAGGCCCTCTGGACCTTCATGATCCCAGAGCGGAATATCTCAGTGCCTTTTCTGCTTGTGGGCTTGGCCCGTGAGCCGGTGGTGTACATGGACCGGACCCATGTCAACCTGGGATATTTGCTTATGGGTGAGAGTCTTTCAGCATCTCTCCCAAAGATTCCTCTGAACACGGCTGTTACTTACATTGTTCGTGTTTTGACAGCGTTATGTGATTCCATTGGAAATATTTGTAGGACAGTCCTGTTGGACATTGATAGGTGCTTTAACCTCAACACTCCTGTAGTGTTAACTTTGGGTGCCACACTCTACAGGCCGCAAGGTGCATGAGAAGGTCTACCTACTGAACATGGAGGAGGTTCCGTTCCACTTCTCCATCCGGCAAGCTTCCTGTCACTCTGAGGCCAGCCTCGACACCCTGCGGCTTGAGCCGTTGATGGGGACAGTGCAAGCCCGTGACAGGTAGCTTGTCCTCTGACACAATTGCATTTGATTTCATGTCACATAATATGGGTCCTCCCTGTCCCCTTTGTCCAAGATCAAACTGTCACCATTATGGAAAAATATAATATTAAATATTAGCTGTTATTAATTCTTTCCATCCATTCTTTTCCCAACAGCTTACATTTGTAAATTTGCTTCTTGGCAAATGGTCAAATCTGCTTAATACTTCTGGCAAATGAAATTAACATTTACTTGCTTTTTTGATAATTTTCATAAATTATATGGTATGTGATATAATATATAATACATTTTAATTCAAAGTGACCTACAATTTTAACCCATAGGGTTGTATATCTTATTGCAGCAATTTGTATCAAGTCCACACATATAAAAATGCTTCCTCTCGGACTCAAACCAGCAATCCTCAGGTTATGAGTCCTTAACTGCTACGCTTAGCTGTTGAGTGAGATTCAGCGAGACGTAGTTGAATGACATGCACTCCCTGCCAGGCTTCCCCTGGCCATCTCCTTCAGCCCTACACAGGAGGGGCCTGTGACCTTCAACCTGGTGTGTGACGTGAGAGGAAAGGTGAAGCCTTTGACCGTGAACGTGAAAGCAGAGAGCTTCACCTTCGCCGCATGTGTTCAGTGGCAGAGCGTGGATGGTGAAGTCACAGACCTGTGTCCGGGAAACCAACATCAGGTGGACTTCAAACAGGTGAGCTGCTGGAGACACTGGACAGCAGATGCACTGCGAAAACCGGAAAATCCAGGAAAGGGAAGTATGTTGCTAAAATCTTCCCAGGTTACTGCAGGAGTGAAAAAAAACAAACAGTGAGACTCGCCTCCTGATTGGCTGTGCTAATCTGACTCTTGTTTATCAATCTTTGGATAGGTTGAGCTGGGTGACAAAAGTTTGTGCCACTTCCTGGTTTCGAACCCTGGAAAGTTCAGCTTAGATGTACAGTACGAGCTGTGGGGCCCGCCGGAGATGCAGCGCCACCTGCAGGTGGACCCTGGCAGTGGCATTGTGCCTACAGGAGGACAGAACAGCTGTACTGTGACATTCTTTCCGCTACAGAAGTGTGTGCTCAGAAACACCGGCCTCCGTATCCGCGTGAGTGACCCTGACCTCTGAATCGCCATCGGACGCCACTGGGCTCAAGAGCGACCTTGGCAGGGTTGACCTGATAACGGTACTGTGATGGTGGACTGCAGCTAAACCGTCATTTGGATTCATCCAGTGTTCTCTGCTGCCTCTCTTCAGGTAAAGAACGGACCATCTTTCAAGTGCTGCTTCTCTGGCTTGGCAGTGAATCCCAGCATCCACTTCTCCTTCCTCAAGCACAACTTTGGAAAGAGCTTCCTCTACTGTGCTGGCATGGTGCCTCCTGCAAAGACGCTGGTCATCTCCAACAAGGGAGAGCAGTCAGTTAGGTAACATAGCAACAGAGTGAAGCAACTTCATTTAGTCCACCACCAGGATTACATACTGTTCATTGTATAAGGAGGTATTTAATGTATTGTGGAATATGGATAAGACATCTATAGCCATGGATGGATGGATGGAATAAAACATGGCTCTGAAAAGCCTGCTTTTTAAATACAACTTGTCTACAGTGTAGTGATGTAATGTCTCGTGTCTCCTCCATAGCTTGGGTTGCTTGTACCACAGTACAGTACATCTGGAGGTGGGCTTCCAGCCCAAAGTGTTGCTTCCCGGTGAAACCATGGAGGTGCCTATTACCTTTTATCCACGAGAGGTCATGCGATACAAGGAGAAGGTCTTCTTTGAAATAAATGACTCCGCAAAGCATGTGGTGGAGATCCTGGGCCAGGGCATTGAGTTGAAGGTCAGAAGAAGAAACACGAACTTACGTAGTTATGCAAACTTCCGCCACTTCATGGAAATTCCATTTGCTTGTGGCTTTAAGGTCTTGAGACCTTCTCACCATGGCCATTCTTTCAGATTCATGTGGAAGACCCCAAGGACAAGGTGGTGAACCTCGGGACCCTCCTGATTGGTCAGAAGACCAAGACAGTGATTCCTGTGGTGAACAACAGCCAAGCTCCTGTGACATTTTCCTTGCTTCTGAACCCATCTGTGGAAACGCTGTTGGACTCCAAGGTAGAGGAGGTCCCAGTCCATAGACTGGTATCATTCAAAAGGAACTGGTGTTAAAAACAGTGTTTAAGTCAGTTGCTCAGCTCCTGTGGTTATTGGTAATACTCAAGAAGGGCTGGTGTTTGCCATTCACAGGTGCTCTCAGTGAGTCCGACTGGAGAGGTGACCTTGAAATCAGGGGGAGGGCGCTGCTCCATTGAGTTGCTGTTCTCCCCCTGCTACCGGTTGCCCCCCTTCAAGGAAGAGCTGCAGCTGGAGTGCTTGGGGACAGTGCGCCCCCTGCTGGTGCTGCGGGGCTGCTGCCATGGCATCGAGGTTCAGCTAGACCAAAAGCACCTGCCCTTTGGAGCAGTGGCTAAGGGCAGCCGAGTTAGCCGGCGCATTGTAATGAGCAACACGGGAGACATGGGAGCCCGGTACTGATACCCACACACACACACACATGCACATGTTGGGTAAACATATCCTTATGGGGACCGTTCATTCATCTCAATGGGAAAAATGCTAACGCTAACTATGACAACCTTAACCCCCACCCTGCCCTAACCATAACCATAAGTAACCTAACAAAATACAAGAGTTTTTGCGTTTTCAGTTTTTTCATAGCAGTCACCGATTTTTATAAAATAGAGTTTTCCCTTATGGGGACCAGGAAACCGGTCCCCATAAGGGAAAAAAATGGATATTTATCACATTATGGGGACATTGTGTAGGTATAAGGATAGGTAAACCCGCTCGCACACACACATACACACGCACACACGCACACGCAAACACGCAAACACACACATGCACACACGCAAACACACATATGCACACACACCTTTCTCATTTTCTAAAGCTGAATAACTTAAAAGGGGGTATTTTCACTGGGGGGGACATCGCCACAGGCAAATTTGAAAAAATGTTATATACACAAACTGTCTTTACAAACACAGTCACATAAGTATATTTATAACATTATATGTAACATAACTCAGGTTCAAGTGGGACGTGAAGGCTTTTGCTCCGGTGTTCTCCATAACGCCCACCGAGGGCTACATCTGCCCTGCCATGCTGGTGCCATTTGATGTGACTTTTGCCCCCACGGAACTCAGCCAGGATCTGCGCTGTGACAATGTCCCCTGTGCCATCGAGGGTGGCAAACCCATCAGACTCACCCTCTCGGGGTCTTGCATCGCGACCCCCGTCGTCAAGGAGGTAAGTCCCCCCCCACCCCAGCTAGTCCTTTATCTTCTATTTCGAAATGTGTCTTTTACAAACAACCCGTTTGTTTTGAATGTGAATGGAATGTGTTAATACATTTCTTATTCTGGTAATTATTGTGCTTTTCTATAAGAGATACTATTATTCAAATTCAAATTGTACCCAGTTATAGAGCTAATATCTTACAGGAGCAATTCAGGTTAAGGTCTCTTTCTAGGGTTAGCAGTCTGAGTACCTACTGTCCACACCTTTTCCACGTTACTCTATCCCTTCCCTTGACGTATTTTCTCCACCTCCTCCCTCTCTGCCCGTCTCCGCTCACGTCTGTCTCCGGCCAGGTGTTGCACTTTGTGTGTCAGGTGCGCACTGAGCACACCCAGGCCGTCCCCCTGTCCAACCGCAGCAGCCAGCGATGCACTCTGAAGCCTGTCCTGCAGGGGGAGCACTGGAGCTCCCCCTTGACGTTGGTCCTTGAGCCAGGCCAGCAGAACAAGCCCTATGAGATCACCTACAAGCCCCTGGTGATGACTGGTGATGGGAAGAAGCACCAGGTGTGCAAACTGTCCTCATCTTCATCTTCTTTTCTACATAAGTTCATCTTTCTCCTGAAAGCAAATATTGACATTTAAGCCTTTCAGGCATAACTAAACTGCATGCTAACTAATAATGTCCTTTGAATCCAAAGTTAGACTAGTAACTCGACAGCTAGTAATAAGCATGTTACCTGTGCGTCTCCCTCATCCATGCTCATGTCTTCTCCTTGTCCCATCTGTTCCCCAGGGATCCATCTTCTTCTCCTTCCCAGATGGGACAGCCTTGCTGTACAGCTTGCTCGGGACCTCTGAGCCGCCCAAGGCCGCCGGCACCGTCTCCCACGAGGTGCCCTGCAAGACCCAGTTCACGGGAGTGTTATCGGTGCTGAACTGGCTGCCCCGGCCCCAGAGGTACGGTACACAGGCATGCACAGTAATCATGATTACGGGCACCGCACATTGTCACCAGCCTCCAGCACACCTGCTTTCCTACTGCAGAGTCCTGGCGAGATTCACAGTGTAAACAGACTGAGCAAGCAGCACGGCTGGAGTTTAATTAGAGTCGCACACATGGGTCGTGTCTGATAGGCCTCGATGTACATTTAATTTCAGGCAGCATTGGCGCCGTGTCTCTCCTTCCGCACTGCCTGCCTCTGTAGTTTTCTCTTGAAAGTGCACATTAAATATCAGTAGGATTTAGGGAAAAATTATTGCAGTTCTCATCCCTTATGAATAAGTCTGAGCTCCCTCCCTTCTCTCTGTAACTTCCTGGATTTTAAATGAATATTTGACTGGTGCCATATCAAGATGACCAGACTTTTATTATCGTCAAAGAAATGAACTAATCAAAAAACATGACAAAATGTCTTAATAAAACACCAGAGGAAGAGCCTGAATTGCTCAGTAGGGCCACTAACTTCTCTAAGGTGGGGGAAGATATTGCTCAGTTAAATCTCTGCATTTTTTTTTCTCCGCCCCCTCACTCTCATGGTTCTCTTTCTCTGTCTGTAGGTTCCGTGTCGTTGTGGAGATCCTGAAACCCGAGCGGCCTGATAACACCATCACCGTCAAGGGGCTGGAGTACCTGGATGTCCCAGCGGCCACCAGGAGGAGCTATAAACTCGGCTTCTTTAGCTACAGAGAAGGAAATATCAGCGCCAAAGTGAGAACAGCAAGCTGGAGAGCTTTTCAGCAGACATTGTTGTCACGTTGATGAATGTTGATGAACATTGATGAGCTACGTCTGCCCCTTGACGGCACGTACGCTTGTGATGTGCTGTTTGCCGCACTTGTATGTCGCTGTGGATGAGAGCGTCTCAGGTGAATGTGAACGTGGGCTTTGGGGCTTTGGCCCTTTTTAATCGGCCCATTTTCCTGCCCAGGTGACTTTCGGGAACGAGCTGACACAGGAGTACCTGTTTTACTATGTGAACTTCAAGGCCACCGCGCCCGGCGTCATCCAAATGGTGGAGATGGTGGCTTTGGTGAGGCAGATGGCCTCAGCCACAGTGACCGTGGAGAACCCCCTCCCTGTCGGCCTCTACTTAACCACCGAGTGCCGCAGTGGGGACGTCTTCATGCCTCCCCAGCTGTTTGTGCCCGCATTGTCCATGGTGTGTATACCAGGGGCCATATCTCTCTCTCTCTCTCTCTCTCTCTCTCTCTCACTCTCTCTCCTTCAGGGCTGTCTGTCCATCTCTCTCCTCTGCTCCTCTGCTCACTCTTCCTCTCTTGCTGATCCACGCAGGCACCCCTCACTTTTGAGTACCAGCCCCTGCGGCCAGGAGACTCCACCGCCCGTCTGACCCTGTTCTGCAGTGAGCTGGGCCACTTCCACTACGAGCTGCTGCTCCGGGCGCTGCCCGCCCCTCCTGAGAAGCCCCTCTGTTTCCGGACCCCCCTGGGCACCGGCCAGTACATTGGCGCCAAGTTCACAAACTACTCCCGCGTCAAGGCGGAATATACCGGCAAGGTACGTGCCGCTTCCTCTGTGTCACACCTGCAGGCTGCAGGCACCTTCTCAGGATTTTCTGGTCTCCACACCTTAGGTTCTCCCTCGACCTCCCTGCTGGCAGACCCCCCACCCCCCCCAGCTGCTTGTCCCGTCGTTATTCCTGAAAGCTCACGTCCATCTCTCCTCTGACTACCTGTCACGGCCCCTGTCAAGTTTAAAACACCGGTGCTTACCTGCAGCATAAGCACGGATATGGCATCTTAATACCTGCGATCCTGAATCATCCCCCTACAAGACTGCTGAAATCCGGGCCCCCGTACACTGCAGAACCCCACACTGCAGAACCCCACACTTACATAAGAACCACATATATAAGATTACACACTCTGTGATATATGTGCTTTTCCCTGATATAGACATTGCAGATTGAAGTACAAGCTTTCAATTTGTTGTAGTTTAATTGCTTATTGACGCTCAGATTCTCTGTAATATTCAGCATGTCTTATATAAGTCATAAATTATATTTATGAAATTTATATCTTCATAAATCTGCTGAGGTGCATCTAAGCTTCATTAGGAATAAATGACTGTAAGAATGTAAATGAAGAATGTGCTGACTGTGTTTCCTGCTTCTGCTGCCCCAGACGGACGGCCTAGACTACACGGTGGAGAAGAGCATCACGGCACCAGCGGGCTCCCAGGCCGGCACTGATGTCGGGGTGGACGTCTACTTCGAGCCGAGCCAGCTGGGCGAGACCCGCGCTGCTCTCACTCTGTCCTCGAGCCTGGGGGGCGACTACATCTTCCCGCTCGTCGGCACGTGCCTTCCGCCCAAAGCCCAGGGCCCCTTCACCATCCATGCAGGCTCCAGCATCTCCATCCCTTTCAAGAACGTTTTTCTGCAGACCACCACCTTCTCCTTCCAAGTGGACAACCCCTGTTTCACTGTCAAGGTGACGGAGATAATTCGTTCCAAGAAGACGCACAGTGTGGTGGTGGCGTACGAGAGCCCTTCCCCGCAGCCCTGCACGGGTAAGCTGACTGTCTCCAGCCCGCGCTCTGAGGGCCACGGGCAGGGTGTCTGCTGGGTCTTCTACCTGAAGGGCCTGAGCTCAGAAGTGGGTTCACGAGGTAAGGCCTCCTGAAAGCCTGTGAGGTAGCCCCCCCGAAGGCCTGTGAGGTACTGTAGACCCTCATTAGCGCCCTCAGAACACAGCACCTGAGGCTACGCAGAACTTGCTGAGATCCAGCAACCATTTGTTGCTGCATTCAGGCTTAGTAGTTATTTAAACTGTTCAAATTAATATTATACAACATAGACTTAAATGTACTTTAATTGTATCAGAAGTTTTATGTACATGCATCTGAGTATTTAGACTACACTAAGATACTTTCTTACATAATAAAGTATTTTATATTTTATAGTTATAGTTTTTCATAAAAATCTTTCCTTTTATTGCGTTTAAACTAAGATAAGATAAAAGCCTTTTTGTCATTATACTTCAGTACAACAAAAATGTGTTGCATGTGTCATCTATGCTGAACTGCAATGTGAGTGAATAAAATAAATTATTGAATTACTGAAAACTCCTTGGATGCTTTAGTTTGTTCACAGCCAGATCTGCCAGGTCTCTGTCAGCAGATGGTCCGTCTCACTGGGGCAGTGTACAGTGGCTCACTGTCTGCAGGTTTCATCCTGTTCTCTTATGACATGCAGTTAAGCTAAATGGCATCTCTGAAGTACTCAAAGTGTGTGTGTGTGTGAGTGTGTGTGTGTGAGTGTGTGTGTGTGTGTGTGAGTGTGTGTGTGTGTGTGTGTGTCCCATTGCAGCATGGGTCAGGCCCCAGGCCTCCCTGCCATTCACACCCAGGATAGGCCTTTTGAAGATGGATGTATCCATTGTTTAGTTCTTGATTAGTTTACTTTCTTCTTTTTTCCACCAGGGGGCACAGTTGCCCTTTTTCAAGAGAGCGAGACTAGAAATAGAGTGGGCTAAGAGACCTGGCATGTCCCGCAGTATTTGATGTAGTCTGGGTACATGCAGTGGACAGCTTCCATCCATCCATCTTCTACCTGCTTGTGCTGGTGATGGAGGGGTATGGAGCCCACCTAGTACAGGTGCCAGGCTATAGTGTACACTCTGGATGGTATAAGAGTCCATGTCATGGCACATACACAGACACACACGCAGTCATGGGCTATGAGTGATGTTAGAGATGCCAGAGAACCTAACTGCATACCTTGCACTAGGAAACCGGAGTACCTGGTGGAAACCCGCATGACTTTGGCAGAACATGCAAACTCCACACATACTCAGAGCTGGCAAGGTATTTGGACCAGTTCAGGTGGGAGGCAGCAGCCCTAACCCCGATGGATACCCTGTTTAGGCTGTTTACCATACATCTTGTCATGGAATATTTTGACACATAGTAGAGTTATTCTCACAAAAATTAATTACAGTGACAAGTTGATTTGCTCTTCTTTGGGAAAAACGTGATTTACATTGTCTTTGTGTACTTGAAAAATATAGCATTAATTATTAAGTAATTACCATGATTAACTTTTATCATTTTTAAAGATTAATAAAGGTATGTACTTTTGTATAATAACAAGCAGTAGATATTTGTCACTTGGATGGTCAATGGAGGACTTCAGTGAGTGCAGCACTTCAGACGTCTCTGGCAAACACATGATGTTTGCGCATATCGCCTGTGATTTCCTGCTGTCACGTTTGCTCGCCATTCGGCTGGAAACGCTGACTAACTTGTGGGCATTAAATTGCCTGCTCCCTGCGTTTGGACCAGCCTTGTACGTGGGATGCATTGGGGCCAACTGACCTGACGGGTTCAGACGAAACATCTGAGGTTTATCTCACACTCCCTTTCCTCCTCCTCCTCCCCCAAATTGAGTTGCTAAGCTACAGGGTGGATCTGAGTGACACTAAGAACAAACAGAAATCTGCTCCCCACCTGAAAACAAGCTCTGGGGTCGGCTGGTGCTGCCTAATTTTAGAAGCTCTGTGTGCGATTATGCTAAGGCATCAAAGGTGGACATTTTAGGTGTGAAAAGTAAAAGTGCAGATCAAGACTTTCAACAAACCAGTTGAGTACTGACTTTGACTCTTTATACTCAACTAGTTGGTTGAAACAAAATCTTGGTCTATGTTTTTTCTTTTATCACCTGAAGTGTCCACTTCTGTAAAGCATCAACCACAGACAGAATATTAATTAGCTATCAATCACATGGCAATCAATACCTTACAGTGCATGTGCTAAACTGGTTAGTGGCAGTTCCTGATAATTACACCCACCATGCATTAGAAACCTGGTTTCTCTGATCTCTGAAAGACCAAAAAACATATCCCATCAGACCTGGTCATAATTGTTTGTGCAGTTTGGAACTAGAGGCCAGAATTTCTCTGGAAACCTCATTCCAACCCCAGAGTGCTCAAGGAACTGAAGTGCCATCTAAATTTATGCTGCTCTAACTTATTAATAAGCCAGAAATGGAAATTTCTGTTCTCACTGAACCTTAACAGCTCATAAACCTTGTTTCAGACCTGTTTCATCTGAAGGATGTAAAGGGGGAAGTTCTTCCATTCTGGCATTTGTAATGTGACCTTTTTCAACAGTAATTAGACTTTTATGTACATACAGTATGTTCTTGTTTATTATGTGCATTGTCACAAATCTGAGTGTAAAGATTAACCAACGTAAACCATTTATATGGGTCTTTTACAAGATCCAGGGGTTTCCTAGTCAAAGCTGAGACTTCTGTGTACGGGATCATTAACCTGACAAGAGTAACAGAGACCTAACTTTGGCAAAGGAGACTTGAGTCCACAATGCATTATTTATACATCATAGGCCAAGTCTTTTCTGCTGGGATGGATCACTGGATCACTGTACAGTAGCTTCTGGAGCACTGCATACACCAGCTGAGCACACAGTGGTCACACATCACTGGCTTCCACACACTGATTTCAGCTTTTCCATTTGAAAACAGACAACTAAATAAATGAATGGCTATTAAAACCTGAATAATTGTGCTGCTGGTAATATATATTACCCTGTTACTCTGCTACCACATTAAGTGATGAAAGTGAGCTTTGGGCAAAAATCCCAGCATGCATTGCAACAGCACAGTGACTAAAGTGTATGGTGTTCAAGTGTCACTCTAACTACCACGCTGCATACCCAAGCAGCACGCACTGCTGAATACGGAAGATCTATAGCTCTTCTTAGAAGGCTTGAGGTGTTAATGGTCTAACGGTTTTTGGAATTCATGTACTTCAAGGAAACAGCCCCTTCAACTTGGGTTAAAATGTCTATTAAATTAGTCCTACATCTCTGGACTCCCTTGGGTGGTTAGCTCCTGATCCAATTACGTCCTGAGAATTTGAGATGGTATTAGTTAATCACCTTTGAAAGGGGAAGGCACTGGAGCAATCTGGGCTATCCTTCATAACATCACGAAGCAGAAATGATAAGCCACAGTTTAAAGGAAGCCAATTTTCAACCATGAGCCCTTCACCTTTCAGTGTTCAATACCAGAGCTTTTTCATCTCTAACAGGAGTGTTGGATTTAGGCAATGGGGTGCTAATCTGATCAGGGAGCTATGAAGTAACCCACCCTGAAGTTAGTGGACCAAATAAATCTCCTGATATTTGGACCATTTCTCATAGCTGGAAGAATGTTTTAGAGTGATGATACACAGGGCAAATTTTTGAGCAGTTATCAGGCAATGTTGCTTGGGCACGTCACATTGATAACGGGCAAGATTATTCTACTTGAAAAACATTGATCGACAGTGGGCAAATTTTCGGGATCATCCTGATCCAGATTAGTTGCCCTTTGTCTCACCTGCTTGGCAATTGCCTGGCGAAAAGTTGCCCTGCGTATCATCACCTTAAGACTGATGGTGCCAGTTTGCACAAATTACCTACTTGTTCTTTGTGGCTATTGCTTGCAAGGTGGGGAACGACCCAGGACAGTGTGCCAACCCATCGCAGAAGCTTTTATTCGTGTATTTAAAAGATTACAAAATAAAAAATAAAAAATTACTAACTGCTGTAAATGATAACGTACGATCGCTTCACCTTTACAGCTTTGGGTTTGAGCTCTTTGTCTCACTGAACGTTACTAAACATGCGTAATTTTCTAGGCGTAATTTCCCACACTGCAGTCCATATTGCACTCTTCTTGCAATGCCTAAGGAGATTGCAGCTTCTCTCTACCGCTCAGTTTTGCACTGTAGAAAAAGAGGGTGTGTATTGGGGGTGTGTATGGCCGATGATGTAAGCGAGGAGGGAGGGAAAAGCCCCCTTAGCGCTCAGCATGAACGCTCTGTAGCAAAAGGATGTGCGAGCAAGCAGCGCGCTACTGCAGGGACGGCGTCCAAAAACTGCTCCACAAAGAACAACCCAAACTCCGGGCCCAGGACAGCAAAGATCAGCCGAAACCCGGAGCACCGGTCAGCGATACGGCAACGGCTGCACAGTCCGGCAACAGCGGCGCCCAGTCCGGCGGAATAGACGGGCTTGTCCGCTGGATAGTAACCAAGATGAGCGACAACAAAAGCATCTCTTCCCGGGAATACGTGAAGGAGGAGGCGGCGGTTGCCCAGGAACAGTTTTTCGCACCCGAGCCTCGCAAAGGCACCTCCGTTATCTTGGATGTAGGTATTACTTGCCTGTAGTTACGTTTAACTCATTGCCAAAATGAGAAGTAGATGAGTTGAAGAAATTTGCATCTTAGCCTTGTGGTTAATTAGTTGAAATGCACTTTATTAAAGGAAAAAGTGCACTTTAATTATGGTTTATTAACACTGTTGTAAAATCTTTGTTAAAACTTTTAAAAAAGGGACTCTTATAAGGAGCATTTTATTGATAATTTAGTGTTAGCTTTCACCATTACTGAATTTTATGCTTTTTTATATTAGCGTGTATAAGAAGCATGATTTCACGGGCACACCAAACTTTTAATTATTAATTAAGAATGCCTTTACGTTTTCATCCAAGCGATTATTAACAGTTCAAAGTGGAGCCTGAGCATGAAAAATAGTTCTGATTTGCACATCGTACATTTTGATATTAATAGTTAAATAAAATCCTATGGTAAAAACAATCTTCCGAGATAATGAAGTGCCTCAGAGAGGGCAAAACGATGGATGCAGGTGTACATAGAGACAGACAATTGTTAACATAAGACGAGTCAAAGTGCAGATATTCCTTGGCACCCAAATTCGATCAGATCGGGACTTTGTCGGGAACATTTTAGGGAGCGTTCTTCATTCTCGCTTAGGAAGATTTAGATCCCGAGAATGTATTTATAAAATTATTCATATTTATCATTTCACAAACTTTTTAAATTGGTCTGAAGCAATCTGGGGATATTGCAGGTAGCCTATAGGAATGATTTAAATGTAGCTGTCTTTACATTACCGATACCTCTGGCTTAACGTGGCTTTAATTTAGTATGAACCCAGAGAGCAGCGCTCTGCGAAATCGAGGCTCGGAGATGAGAGTCGGGTGTGTGGGAATCCGCTGGGGGGCTGCAGGGCTGGGGGGCTGGGGGCTGGGGCTATGGGACGGCGGCCGCGGCGGGTTTTGGTGCTTCCGGTGCTCATAGTGCAGAGATGAAGTTTTAGATAGACGAAAGACTGACATATTATAAAACAATAATCTTAGTCAAATCAAAACTGTCAGTCTCACTCAGAAATATGAGCGTATCCGTCCGCACATCTTCCAGCTGTTCGTCCAGTTGTGGGGATTCCTGAAGCCAGTAACAGTACGCACTGAGCACAAGTCAGGGAACTCCCTAGTCTGGTATTTCATGTACATAAAGAAAAATTATTAATCATTATTAATTCTAGTATAATGGTATAATTGTGAATCGTGCCTGGTGGTCAGGTTTGTACCGAAGCCTAGGTGCTGTGATTTTCTTTGTTCATGTACAATGACAATAAAGATGTTCTTCAAAACTAATTCAGCAAACATCTAAATGCTGGAGAACGCTCAACTGAGAATAACATGTTAATGTAGCCATACTGGTCATTTTGTGTGTCAGTGTGGATTCAGTGTCGTCTTAATGTTTTTTTAGGAAAGCTAGCTCTTCAGCAAAGCTCTGGTGCTGGAATGGGGTGTGGTCAGCCTAGCAGAGAGAGACAGAGTGAGATGGAGATGGGGCAGAGCGTGGAGAGATGGAGACAGGGGTCAAACCCGAAGACGGAAGGAGAGAGAGAGACAGGGGCCATGATCAGAGATGGAAGGAGAGAGAGACAGGGCAGGGCNTGGAGAGATGGAGACAGGGGTCAAACCCGAAGACGGAAGGAGAGAGAGAGACAGGGGCCATGGTCAGAGATGGAAGGAGAGAGAGACAGGGCAGGGCGTGGAGAGATGGAGACAGGGGTCAAACTCGAAGACGGAAGGAGAGAGAGATGGGGCAGAACGTGGAGAGATGGAGACAGGGGTCAAACCCGGAGACAGAGGGAGAGAGAGACAGGGGCTATGGTCAGAGACAGAAGGAGAGAGAGACAGGGCAGAGTGTGGAGAGATGGAGACAGGGGTCAAACCCGAAGACGGAAGGAGAGAGAGAGACAGGGGCCATGGTCAGAGATGGAAGGAGAGAGAGACAGGGCAGAGTGTGGAGAGATGGAGACAGGGGTCAAGTTCAGCAACAGAGGGAGGGAGAGACAGGGCAGAATGTAGAGAGACAGAGATGGGGGGCTGAGCTCAGCGACGGAGAGAGAGAGAGACAGGGAATGAGAGGAAGAGAGGTGGGGGCGGGTCAAAAGCATCTTACCCCAGTGCCATCACTGCATCTTACCCCAGTGCCATCACTGCATCTTACCCCAGTGCCATCACTGCATCTTACCCCAGTGCCATCACAGCAGCAGACTCAGTGTTTACACTCGCAGCTTGTGCCTCTACTGGAGCCCTTGTTTTCTCTTCTATTATCAGATTGCTCATGATTTCTGTGTCACGCTTTAATATTTCAAAACCTTCGCTGCTCAGTTACTCTCAGACAGCTGCAATTATCAGAATGGTTTTGTTGCAAGTTAGTGCTGAACTTAACAGTATGTGTTAAGCTTATTGTTTTAGCAGTTTTGGTGTTAGAATTTTGAATATAGTTTTGTTACAGGGTTGATGATCATTTGTTATGGATTGTGTGAAGTTTCACACATTAAAAAGAAAAAAACTGGGAAGAAACCACATGGAAACCAAAGGATCTGAATATGTTTCTAAAATCCATCTTTTCTTTTGTGAGTTTAATTATTTGTTAAATCATATTATGTACAATACAGTACATAAAAGGAATTGCGTGATGCATAATCTTATTAAAACACCGTAGTAGCGTTTTTCTGTTTTTTTCGCAGTTATAACTATACATTCACGCTCAGTGATATGAAAAATGCGATTTTTAAACATGTGATTTTAATAATTCAATGCAATTATGCCCGGAATTCATTTGAAATTAACTGAAACTATCATTGTTTTCAGTCAAAATTGATGAACAGGACATGGGACCAAGACTCCAAATGTCAAACAGCAAAACTAAGACTTGAGATGTGACTTGGACTGAAACAAATGTGACCATTAACCTGTTTGAATGAATAATTTCCAGGACATCTCAATTAATGCTCAAAAATTCATTGCGTCAGTCTCAGGCCTCTGACTGAGAACCGTACGTAATCCATCTTCAGGGCTGCTGTTGTGTGGGTGATGTGCTGTGACAGGTTAGCGCCTTTTTTGCTACCGTTTAACTCTTCTTGTCTAATCTGACGAAGACACAAGTTTGAAAGATAAATGATGCCAACCCAGCTGACAGCAACTTTTCTCAGCCATGGTGCAGTTATCGAGCAGTCTGTCTCCATTTTCTTACAAACGGTTTTCGGTTGTCTCAGTGTTATAGAAGCAGTTGTGGGCCAAACCCTCAGAGTGTTTTCTTATACTCAGAGCTGTTCTTAATTGAGGCCTCCTTCTGAGTTCTGAGCAACTGAGAGGCTTTGAAATGATAGCATGTAGCTACAGTGCGACTCAGTTTGGCTTTGGCACCCCGAGAAGTTCAAGGCTTTGCCACGCGATCGCTAACGATTATAGAGCGTGGTAGCAACCAGGAAGTCAGCCTGACAGATCGAGGCTGGAATCAGAAGGATTCGGAGGATATGTTTATTTCACAGGTTATGAGAAACTCATTGTCAAGTTCGCGACCAGTTTTAAGAGAAATTCTATGTGCATAGGAAATGCAGGAAAAGTGAGATGCAACTGAATAATATTAAGTGATTGTGACCTGGGATTTTAATATGTTGGTGCTGAGTGCTGTTCATATATTCTTTTAATTCGTGGTTGAGAACTGACAGCTGCTTCTAACACAATTTGTGTCTGAAACAGAAGACAGAATTCTCAGTAATGACTGCCGGGGGGATTGGGACAGCTGGCTCTCATTACAGACCCCGATACTATATGTAGTCCGTGATGGATTATTGGAGACATATGGCTTTTGATGTCAATCATTGATTGGTTGAACCCATCGCCAAAAGGATTGTTCAGTATTGGCGAAAGGGATTGTTGCTGATTGATGCTGGAAACCCAAAGTCCTCTTATGGAGCCCAGTAGAAAGTTCTGATGATCATCATACTCTAAGCTCTTCAGATCTAGATGTAATATATCTAGTTCTTGCTCGGCTGTCCAGAATAAACAATTAGATCTGTCCTCCCAATTGTTCTGAGGAGGGCAGATGGGGAGCAGGTGTGATCATTTTTCTTTCACACTCATATTTGTTGCTTTGACAGTTGTGACATCTGCATTGTAGCACAAAACCATTTTTTCAAAGCCCAAGAAGAAACGTAAAAATGTTCTATCGAGACACGTTATTTTAATTGGCCTGTATTTATTTATCATTTGATCTGAGAAAATGCGCAAATGATATGCAATGTTTTTGCACAAGTTAAAGGAAATGGTAATAATTTGATTTAAATGCCATTTTCCCCACTGGTTACGGTTTGGCGCCACTGCATTAGGATGTTCCTTGGCTTGTTAGGCACAAAAAGCCTAGAGCAGCTTAATGACACCACAGACACTGAGTGAATGATTGATTCAGTTCATGAATGGCAGCTTACTGCTTCATAGACGCCCCTGAGTCTTGTTCTTGAAACCTGCTGATATTATCCATTACAGATTTCTGACTACAGGGTCATTTTTCTACAGATTGTTGTCAGCTGTATTCCTCATGATCGATAGCACTGTGATCGCACCATGCCATCCAGAAAAAATATTTTAGCTGATCTTTAAATGCGCTGTTAAAGGGTGTAAGGCGTAGAAATACCAAATTTAGTCAAAAGGTGCACCTCCCCCTCCCCACTATTCTGGATGGAGAAGCCTGAGAGTGGCACTATAGTGCAGCCATTTATATTATCGGCTGTGTCTCTTGATCCATGAGTTTTACAGACAAAATTATTTGCTAACACTTCACATGAGGGACGCAAGTAACTTAGTAACTCAGTTACTGCTCAAGCACAAATCATGAACAAATATTGTAACTGCACAACATGCATGAACTGCTATGATTGATTAATGATGAACAGACATGGGATCAGTACACAACTGACACTTAGTTTCTGGTTAATTAATGCATTAATTAAGGGTGTTCTAACTACTACATTGTGCCCCATCAAACAAAGTGCCCCTAATTATTTTCCCCCAGATGCTACGGCCCTTTCCAAACAGAGAAGCTATTACATTTCTTCTTTATTTGCATAATTTGCAAAGCCTACTTTTGCAAACTGGTCATAACTTGACCTGATCTGCACAAATGTAATTTTGGAAGAATCAGGAGACTAAGTTCACCAATAATTATTTTAAAAAATGTTGAGTTTTATGAACAGGACGACCACTAGCCAAAATTGTACCTTCACTGCACTTGTTCTACATGATGAGCTCTGACTTGTGAATTTGGGTGTTACATGGCTCAGGGTTTTGTTCCTGTAATCTGAAGGTTGATGGTTCAAATCCCAGGGCCAGCAGAGTGATGTCATTGTTGGGGCCTTGAATATGGCACTTGACCTTCAATTTCTCCAGTCTGACCCCACTTCCTCAGTTGTGCGTTGCTTTGGATAGATATGTAAATGAATGCTATGCCCAATCTTCACCAAATTTGAGGGGCCAGTACAGAATGGTGTTGGAGGCTGATGGCGTCAGATTGGTGCACCATGTCTTATATCTGGGTTTCAGAAGCCATTTTACATGCATGATAATGACCAATCAGGAACAATGTTGGGGGCACTGGATTGCTATATGCAGCCTATGCTGGCATATAAATGTAATTTGTCTGATTTGCTGAGAGGTCCTCTTGTGGATAACGGTGCTTGGACCCTGCTAATTACGGCTCACCGCTCTCATTGTAATGGTTTTATTAACATTTGTCTGGATCAAATGAATTGCATTTGGTTTCAGCTGTATCACTTGTGTAACATGGGATAAAAAATCTTTTGCATGGTAGTTATGTTGTGACTATTTCAAATGAATGAATGAATGAATGAATGAATACCGATTAGCTCTTGAATAAATGACTAAAGACTGAAAACAGGTGTTAATGGAACCATGGATGCTTTGGTAGAACATAAATAAATGATTGAATGGCCAATGTCCTCTCGAGAATAATAATGCCGTAAATCACAGAGTTTGGCCATATGTCATTAAACCCGAGTAACACACCAGCTGTCTTAGTTGTTTTGATTGTAAAAATTAATCAAATACTTTTGACTTGCATTTAATATAATATTGATTATCTAGATTCTTTTGAGAATAATGATCAATATGGCAAATTTATAACCTGTCTAACTCACTGAATATTGATTCATATATACAACATGACATTTGATATAAATTTGATATGGTTTGTCATCTAGTAAGAATGATGGACAGGGATACCAAAACATGTGTCAGGCGTTTATTTATGTGTTTGAGTTATGGATTTTGTTGGTAGTGATGGTTTTCTTTGTACTGTCTTCCGCTGTCGAGACCTTAATTCTTCCATAGTTGAGGCCGAGTTTCCTGTGAAGACTCCATTCATCGTTTTAATTAGAAAAACAATTTTCCGCACTATAAAAGTGTGTTGTTGTGTCAGTTAATGGAATTTACTGTGTGGGGTTCTCGATGTTGCCTGCAATGGATTATTGACCGATGCTGTCATTTTTTCCCCCAGATTTTCCGAAGAGCAGATAAGGATGGTAAGCATGCATTTCTATACAGTATATATTTCTGACTGAGCAGTTTAATTAGTGCCCAGTCATGTTTCTGACTTTCTTTACATGCCTGTTCTGATTTATGCTGTTGGGATGTGTGTTTCCTCTCCCCCAGTGGGAGCCTCTTGTACGTTGAGCACCCTTATACTATAATGGTCACTGCCCTGGTGCCTCAGTGCACAACTGGGACTTGTGCTCGTTGACACGAATAATGGAGGTTCAAACGCAAGAGTACTGGGGTCGGGGGTGGGATCGGTGTCTAGTTTGCCCAGAAAAATCTGACAGTTCGTTTAAAACTGTCTGTGTGGCTAACTTCCGACTTCACAGGGGTTGGTACAGTATGTGTTCTAGGGTGATGAAGGCCAGTTCTAATACAGTTGTCATCGGTTCCCTCTGTGGTGCTTGTTCCCCAGCTAACAAGGAGAACGCCTGGAAGAGTTTGACGCCCCACCCATCCACTAGAGAACTTACATTAAATTAAATTTCATGACAAGATAGATAGTACATTCTGTTAATGTGATACGTTTAGAATTTGGTGTACTGTGAAAGCTGGGAATATTTGCTTTGGCATTTTTTCCCCCTCTGTTATCAAGATTACATTACACAGTGTTTTTTAATCTTCTACAGTCAAATGTAAATGTTAGGGAAAATATGGTTTGACAACCCCCCCCCCCCCCTCACACACACACACACACATTTAATTTATTCCTGGGACACACAGATTCATTGATATATTCACTGTTTCCTTACTTTAGTTGAGCTTTATTTGTTTGCCTAGTTCGGAAAACACTAAACATTTAGCTGTGTTTGTTAATGGTTGAGATTTGGAAGCGTTTCTGCGTGTGTTTCTAAGCACTAAGTGACAGGTGGGTAAGAATTCATCGTTCTGGTGGGACTAAGTTTCACAGACAAGAAGAATAGTTCTCATTTTCTTTGCTGCTGTGTCATTCCGTCAGATACAGAGAACAAGTAAAGTTCATTTTTGCGTGCAGCTGCAAACTTTCCGCAGTGATGTCTGTAAGAGTAAAGAGAGGATAAGCCTTCTCTCTTTGAGGGAGCTCTAATTGTGGGTGTCTGCAACACCCACTCACTAGTCTGCCCACGTACCGTGAAGGTAGGCCGCATGGTCGTCTTCTACATTGACTCTAAATACATGACAAGATGTGCAGTGCATGCTGGGATACAAGTGTGGGGCATTATTTCGCTGCTCAAGCAGCGTGGACACATATAAACGCTTCCTGAGAATTTGCACATACAGCGAGGGCTACTGGCTTTGCCTGGAGTAGTGAAGAGCTGCGTGCACCTTAAAGCTTCCCTGACAAGACTCTCTTTATCAGTCTCGTAACCTTTCCTCTTTTAAAACCCTTTGAAAATAAGGCCTCTGCAGGAGGGAAGGCACGGTAATTGTTGATAAGTGGCCAGAATTGGGAATTTTAGTTTTGATGACCATTTTAAATTCTTTCTCCAAAAATGCTTACGCCGCCACAGAGAAATCCTTTCGTTTTACCAAGCGGAGCAGAATTAAAGCAGCACTGAGTCTTTGCAGCCGCTCAAAGTGCCTAAATGTCAGTGGACTGAGTTGTTCTTTACCGGTGTATGTATGCAGAGAGGATGGACATTTCGGTGTTTTATTGATGATGAACACACCCTGTCACTGAGTGCGTCCATGGAATGGGAATGTACTGCCCCCACTCCCCCACACACACACATTTGAAAAGCAGAACGGATGTATTTTTCTTCATGGTAGTTCTTATGTTTTATTCATTGCAGACACGTTTGGGTCTTGGGAGCTTCTCCTGGAGCGCCCTCTCTGGTCGGTAGTGGTAATCCTGTGTCAGAATACTAGAATTGGTGGCATGACTGTGCCTCTAGTTATTGTCACTGAAAAACATAGCATTATGTTAATTATCTCACAGAGGCTCAGTGGCAACTTATAATTATTTCTTCTAAAAGATTCCTCAACCACCAAGAAACGATTCAGCGATGCTGTTGTCGTGACCCCTCTACCATTTCCGTATTCCTTCGCTGTGGAGTGAGTACTTTTCGACAATCAGTATTTCATGCGTGTTAGCTTGTTGCTAGCCGTTGATAGCTACTGATGATACAAAAGAACTTCAGTAAAGTCTATTGACCATTCCGACTTTCAGCACTCTGAGCATCTTCCATCCCTCCCGCAGGAGTGCAGGGTCAGGGATCGGACACCTTTGGAGGATAAGAGTAGGTTGCAAGATTCAGGAAATTTTCAAAGTTGGAAACTTTCCATGGAAATTAATAGGAATATATGGGAATAAACTGGAAATTAGCAAAATTAGCCTATAACAGGAAACTTAAATGTAGTTGGAAAAAAACATCTTGACAGCACTAATAGTGATATCATTGTGAAACCAAGCGCTTGTAATTGAGTGTGTGAAAACATCCCAAAATAAGCATCTGTATCAAACCACATACCAAAATGTATCAAAACATAATATTCTATTATGTATTATTCATACAGTTTGCTTTCTTTGCTGTATCTGATATCTCACGTGGAGTTCAGTATTTCGAAAATTCTCCAGTTAACTTCCCATGGAAAGTTTATGGAAAGTTTCCATAAATTTTTCATCCCTTTGCAACCCTGGGTAGGAGGATACAATGGCAGGGGTCTGAATGTTATGCTCAGCCAGTTAAAACATGCCTTAATGCACCAGTACCAGTTTTAATAGCACATTGCTAGGTCAATACCTTGCACACCATTCACTGCTGTGCCAGTGTAAACAGCATGTGTTACGGACTACTTTGAGGGCAGAAATAGGCTGGGCTGTGGGCTTCAGAACATAAATAGGGTGAGGCAGCACCATTTGTGGGCACTTAATGTGAAATGCAAAATGTGTGCTGTAGCTGTACATTAGTAAATGTAGTGAAATCCAAGGCTGGCTTCATGTAGGTGGGGTAAGCGCTTAGCTGAGAGGACATGGAAACAAATGAGACTTTCGGCGGGTGATGTCATCTACCACACTTTGGGCCAAGTGTGACCAATCGGGTTCTCAGAAGCATTTACAATCCTCTTGAAATTCGCACATGTCCTAGCAGTGATACAGAGTAATATTACTCTTCTGGTCATAATAGGAAAGTTTTTATTCGCTATAATGAACCACAGGGTAGGAAAGATTTTAATTTTGAAAGATTCTAATTGTGTTTTAAAATAATTAAAAATGAAAATTATTGTATCAGGTTGGGTAATTCAGCAGGTGATTGGTGAACCCAGCAATATCTGGGCTAATACACATTTTCATTCAGAATGCAGTCGTTTGTCAAGACGATGGTTATATAAATATTTATTCATTATTAAAATACATTTCATTTATGTTCTTGGTTTGATATTTTTCAATTAATGCATTGTCTTTACTCTTAAAATTAGTATTATTCATTATAACTAAAATCTATGTACCATTAAAGCTTTTTTTTAAAGGTAATTGGTAATATATGTTAGTGTCAACTGATATTAAATCGGTTTAGTGACCACATGTAACTTCAGCCACTTCAGTGTTTGGCTATAAAATTGCAGTTGTCATTGTAAAGTGTAGCGTCTCTTTCCTGTCAACCCTCGAATTTTGCCCATTCATTTTACAGTGTAACCATCACTCTGCAATCCCATACAGAAGGCGGCTTCTAAGAGCCCCAACTTATTACAAAATCAATCATCCCACACAGAGTGTCAGATCCTCACCTGCCACGTCTCATGACAGCAGCAGATTCTGCGCCTCCATCAATCCATCACAACAATTGGAAGATGCCTGGCTTGTGATCTTTATTTGTGGGAAAAACCAGGAGGCTGTGGAGCAGGATGTGCTGTGCAGTCTTTCCTGCACACAGTGGGAGTGCTGCCCCGTCCCCCTCGGCCACTGCTGCTTCCAGGTGTCCTGTCACAGCTTGGAGCATGTAGCCAGCAGGGATGCTGAAGGGGCTGCCCCCATAGCACGCTGTGGGGACCATGGTGGTGGGGGATTTAAATCAGGATTCCCCCTGCCGCAGGAGTATCTAATGAGGAGCAGACTGCCGCGCGATTTCACATTGTGATGTAATCACGATTACGTCTGTCTGGACGCTGGCCTTTCAGTACTATACTTTTTTACTTACACCCACAATTTGGTAAGCAGATTAGTAGTGCACTTATTGTAAAATATTAATGAGCGGCGTATTGTGACGACCGAAAGTTATAATCTGTATAAATGTGGCCTATGCTTGTGTTTGTTAAAATCGGTTTGCGGAGCACGTCTCATGCTACAGTTTGGGTAAATCATGGAAGCTATTTATAAGCACTGAAGTGGAGGTGAAGAAAGGGACAGATCAGCAGCCTCAACATCTTCGAAAGGAGGAGAAATTGTGGATAAACGAGGCAAAAAGACGTCGGTGGTGTGGCTGGTGCTTTTCGTGGCTTAAAGTGAAATTTATTAAACATAAAGGCATAAATTTATACAGACTACTAACTTTTGGGTGTCGCAATACACCTCATTAATATTTTATGCGCACTACTAATCTGCTTACCAAATTGTGGGCGTAAGTAAATGTCTGTATGGTACTGAAAAGCTTTTGGCCATCATCCGAAGCCCTGGTGATTATTGGCCGGTGATATGTGACATCGCGCCGCCCGACTCTCTCCTCTGGTACTCTTTCAGTAGGAGTAGCAGCCTGTGTGTTTATATGTGAAGGTGCTGCCAGTATCTCCCGTGTCTTCGGTGTAGTTACTCCCTGTGCAGTTACTCCCCAATCAGAGGTGGATAGTCCAGGTGCCACAATTAAAAATCCCAACCAAGATTTTGTTTCAGTTAATCGTTTGAGAGACATTCCACGCACCTACCTGGATGGGCTGCCTCAAATTAGGAATGTAGTGCTGCTGTGCACCTCAGTTTCAGTCCCCAACAGGCCTGACCCCCGTTGGCTCTCCAGCGGTTTCGACTCCCCCGGGGGTCCTGAGGCCATTTGCCCATCGCCTTCATGTTGCATGT